ATAAATCACGATTCTCCTCAACAAACAGCATGATTTTAGGTGTGATTCATTTCCAAATGATGCAGGACAGATTTAAATCCCTTACCGTATAAGAGTATTAGATTGCAATCACAACTAATTTCTTGTCTGATCATCCTCTATGTGAATGCCATGGCAACCTGAATTACCAAAGAATGAGACAGACAGCCATGTGCATCCCAGGCCCAGGCACACCAGTAACTCATAAACACGAATGTTCAGAAATGAACTTGAATCAGTGAAGTATAATCATTGTAATATCTGGACTCTCAGTCTCTGATTATTTTAAATGATTGTGTAGCGTGAGAGTTTGAGTGGTCCCATGTTTCTGTCATGCACATGGGACTGAAAATGTGTGTTTTTAGGTACAAGCTCATGGGAAAATAAATCAGACACAACCACATTCCAACCAGGAACATTACGACTGCACCTGCTGGCCAAATCACTGTCCTCCTGTAAAACTCAGTTTCACACACAGTATTGCAGAGCTGGTTTGCTTTTGACTGTTGATCGGGATTTTAAAAGCAAAAGGAACACGGACTAAAATAATACTTATTTTTTTCCCTTCAGAAGCCCATGATGTCTTTGAGTTCTCCTGTGTTTCTCTGTGCGGCAGCGGAGCGTGCTGAGAATTACAGTAATTACCTCTAATGACAGTCAGCTCGGAACCAGGACCTTCCCTGTAAACAACATGATTCTCTCTGAAGCCTCAAGTTCAGCCTGAGTTCTGTCTCAGTTTTTCTATCTTTGTGATAAACCTGAATGGATGAAATTACTCTGCATGAGGTTAAAGCATACTTTTTTTTAAGCTCAAGAAAGATTTCTGATTATTATCAATATTGAAAACAGTTGTGCTGCTTCTAATGTTTTTTGAAAACCATGATTTTTTTATCAGGATTCCTAGGAGGTCCAAAGAATAGCATTTATTTGAAACAAAATATTTTGTAACATTTTAAATATATTTACTATCACTTTTGATCAATTTAATGCATCATTGCTGAATAAAAGTAGGCCTATATTTATTTTAAAAAGTCTTACTGACGGCAAACTTTTGAACAGTAAGAAAAAAAAATATTGTCTGATTTTATGCTGTGCTAATGATGCATTCTCATCTCTCTCTGCTAATTCCTTTAACCAATGCAGTGCAGCACTATCTTATGTTGTAATCTAACACTGCAGTCAGCTTGATGGCTGTGATGCCACTTTTTTATTTTCACAATACTGAGATCAGTGCCTTGACTCTGGCAGATTATGTGCACCATATGTATCAGTGAACGACAGCAGTTTGTTGTGTCAACATTAAGACTTCATATTTTGTTGATATAGTAACATTATCTGAGGCCGTCGCATACCGTGCGCTGTTTGAGGGTAGTGTTTGGTTTCACACAGTCACATGAATGAAACGTTAGCCTTCTTGCACCTTCAAATAAAACTCTTTTACATTTTTTACATGTTATCATTGGATTTCAAGGTTGTGCCATTGATTTTAAGATTGGGAACATCCTGCATGTGAATTTAAAAAAGAAAAATGTGGAGTAACATAATCAAAGTAGAACATCTGAAAAGGAGGTTAGCATATCCCTGAGGACAGGAGAGGAGGATGTCAGACACAGAGAACTCTTCTTTTGTGTGTGTGTGTGTGTGTGTGAAAGAGTTTCAATATCAGACAATGTCATTGGTTATAGGCACAAGTTAATGGCAAAGACAGCCTCCAGCTATGCGTGTACGTGTATCTGACAATGAATACTTCTTACGAATTTCCTCATCATTGAACAACATGCATAACACAAACTGACAGGTTGGGAAAAACAAGATACTTCCATGGAATATTAAATATCAGTGTGTGGGATTTCACATGTGTGCAAAGAACAAAACAATATTAAATCCTATAAATACTTAACCATGATTAATTTATTTGATGATTATACTATTCATCATGTGTGTGTGTGTGTGTGTGTGTGTGTGTGTGTGTGTGTGTGTGTGTGTGTGTGTGTGTGTGTGTGTGTGTGTGTGTGTGTGTGTGTGTGTGTGTGTGTGTGTGTGTGTGTGTGTGTGTGTGTGTGTGTGTGTGTGTGTGTATTTTTGGTCCCCTTATGGAAAACAGCTTATAAAGCAATAAGTGATGTTTTTTTGAAAATGTAAAAATGCAGAAAGTTTTCTGTAATGAGTAGGTTTAGGGATAGGGGATAGACTACAGTTTGTATAAAAAGCATGTCTATGGAAAGTCCCCATAAAACATGACAACCCAACATGTGTGTATACAGTATGTATATATATATATATATATATATATATATACACACACACACACAATAAATATGTAGAACATGTAACATATTTATAGTGATAAAACCGCCAATTTTGTAAAAATGTATAGGTATGTAGCTATTGTGTAGGACAGAAATCTCCAAACATCAGAATCAGGAGGATCCTGTGTTTTCTGGCTTAAACAAGTACCAGATGCATGTACAGAAGATGTGAAAACCATTTCTAGCAGTAGCAGCTGTTTTCTGGAACAGTGAAAGTGTGTGTCTGTGAGACAAGAAAAGAGAAAGAAGTTTCCAGATGTTAGTTCTGGATCAGTGAGCATGCACCATCCAGTTCTGATGAACACACACTGCGACTGGAGAATCCCTGCCGAATAGCCAAGAACTTCCCAAATTAGTTGAGTGGTGTATCAGTCATATCCGTTCAATAACATTGGCAACTTGTAGGTTAATTGTAGGAGATATCATAAAATAAATGGTTGTTTTCCCCCACATATTTCTGGCATGGATTGGAACAACCTTTCCGGAGAGAAAAGGGCTTCAATCCATTTGTGTGGTTTTCAGTACAACAAATAAACTCACACGAATTGTGCAGTGGAGCTCACTGAGGAGGCCATGGCAGAGAGAGTTTCTTAGCTATAGGTCAGGAGTGAAACCTTAAAAAATACTGCCCTCTAGAGAAGCAAATGCATTTTACATATTTTCCAATGTGCAAGCAAGCGTATGGTGAATATTATGAGTTAGAGCAGTCCGAGACCTTTTTCAAAGGGCCCCCTATAAGCTGTTGTACTAAAACAAAAATATGATGTCAGTTTTGTGTTGTACGTCTTTATTTTTAGTGTTTGTAAAAATAAAATAAAAAATCATTTTAATTAAGATTATGTAAATATAATTACATTGAGATTACATTGGGACAGTTCACCCAAAAATGACAATTCTGTCATTATTTACTTAACCATCATTATGAGGGTGAGAAATTATTGACAACATTTTCATTATTGATCCATTGTCGTTTGAATTTTCATCTCGTTCCAAACCCGTAAGACTTTCGTTCATCTTCGGAACACAAATGAAGATCTTTTTGATGAAATCTGAGAGCTTTCTGTCCCTCCATTGACAGCTACGCAACTACTTTGACGCTTCAAACAGTTCATAAAGAGATCATAAAACTAATCCATTAGAATTAAGCAGTTTAGTCCAAAGTTTATGAAGAGAATCAATCGCTTTATGATGAATACCTTTAATTCAGTGTTTTATTCACATTTAAACATTGATCAGTGAAGATACAAGCTCAAACGAGCAGCGTAACACGAGAATGAACCTCATTGGTTCTCGCACATCAAGTGAACATGCTTGAGCTTCAGTTTACCACAACTGATGTGCCTAAGTTAAATGTTCATCATATAAAGCAATCGTGTCTCTTCAGAAAATTTGGACTAAACTGCTCAATTCATATGGATTCGTTTTACGATCTCTTTATGAACTTTTTGAAGCGTCAAAGTGTCAGTTGCGTATTGGAGGGACAAAAGATGAACGAAAGTCTTACGGTTTTGGAGAGCCCGTTCTCATCCCAAGGCGTCATATACTGACGCTTTTGCCAAAGCGTCTATATCCAACACACATGGCACCCTTTAGCGTCAATATGAGACGCAGATATATGGCGCCTCCTAGTGGTCTAACCCTAACACTACCCCCCCAGACCTAAACCTACCCACAACCGAAGCGTGTTATATTGACGCTAAAGGGTGCCATGTGCGTCGGAAGCGTCAGTATATGACGCCTTGGGATTCCCAAGGCGTCATATACTGACGCTTTTGCCAAAGTGTCTACATCCGACGCACATGGCACCCTTTATGGGATGAGAATGTTGGTTTTTGAACGACATGAGGGAGAGTAATTAATGACACAATTTTCATTTTTTGGGTGAACTATCTCTTTACCGGCTTCACAACCAAATCTCACACACATTAATATATAGCCTAGTAGCCGCCAAAATATATTTTGACACACTTTATACTTTTTTTATATTTTGACACGCATTTCTCAAAATGTTGCAATGCCAAAGCAAATTATTCTATCCTTTTCTCAGAATTTGTTTTTGAGAAACAAGCTATAACGTTTGATGATCAGACAGAATAGTGATTGTTTTGTTTAAAAAAATTGTAAAAGTTTTGGTTTCATTTTTTTAAGGACTAGTTTTGTATTTAGTTCCTTTGATTTAATAAATGTAAGCTGGAAATAGATCTGCTAAGCCTCTCACCCTTATCATCATAACATGACAAAAAAACTTTTTTGTCCTCATTTTGAAAAGTATACTGTTTCATTATTAAAAACCTCAAACTTTTCTTTATAAAGTGCTTGTGCTATCTTTATCTTCCTCTAATAATTAAATAATAATATTGTGTTTTCTAATGCAATCATATCCATTTAGTGTCCAAATACTTCTTTGGGCTACTGTTCAAAAGTTTAGAGCCAGTAAGAGGTTTTTTTTTTTTTTAAAGATATTAATACTTTAATTTAGCAAGGAAACACTCACAATATTCGTTTTTTCTATATTTCCAGCAAATAAATGCAGCATTGGTGAGCATAAGAGACTTCAAAAACAACCTCTTTCTGAACATCAGTGCACATATGCATCAGTAAATGTGAATTGAAATGCAAAACTGTAAAATAAAGGCCAACAAATTTGCATTTACTGTGAAATCACACAGCACATCAGCTTTAGACTGTTTATTAACAGTGCTGATTTACAGTCTCAAATACAGAAACATTCCAAAATCTCTCTCTCACACACACACACACACACGCTTTAAGCAATAAAGTTGTAAATGCAGACATTCACACGTTAGAATCGTTCTGCTGTGGACAATTAAGCAGAACATTTTGAGAAGCACTTTAATTCTAGTGGATCAGTCAAGGGTCCGAGGTCAAAGTATAGTAACGTAAAGATAAGAAGAAAACTACTTGGAAGACCAAGATACAATTCAAATATACATCCTAAAATCCACTGTAACATAAAAACACCTGAAAGAAAACGTGATGCACCAGTTCAAACGAATCGGATACTGTATGCCTATGCGTTATTCAACAAAAAATATTGAAGGAAACCAGGTGTGGAAGGTAAAATGAATGAAACTCATTTTAAAGTAAAACATAAGAACACAAATCAGGTCTATGGGACAACTAATAAAAGTGTCTTTCGGTGTCAAATAATAATCACAATCACACACATACACACACACGTTAGTTCATTCCCAAAGCTTCAATAACACAAAAACCAAACACAAAAAGTATGAATCTGATCTCTATATGGAAGAAAAGACATTTAAAACAGCAAACTGAACATTCCAACTTTATATAGCAGGCATCCAAAAAAGCTCAAATAATAAAATATTTACAAAGTAAAGCACAAAACCTTTCATATTCCCAAAAGCCTAATTTCACAGTGAGGTCGTTGTTTGATCTTGGTTATTTGCTCAGTATTTGTAAGGGGAATATTGCAGCTGTGTGTCGTGAAATTGGTGCTTATATTCCTCTAACACAGTGCTTCTCAAAGCTGTCCTGGGAATCATCCTCATCTGACACACCTGATTCAACTCATCATCTCATTAGTAGAGACTGCAAGACTTAAATAGGGTGTTACTGATAAAAATGTGCAGTGGTGGGTGACCAGGACAGCTTTGAGAAGCACTGCTCTAACACACACACACTGTGTGCACATAATGCGTAGCAAGGGGTGTAATAATTAAAACTGAAGCTTTTTGGAAAAGAGAAAGCGCAAACCTGCGGCAAAATAGAGAGAAAAGCACAACCACATCAATCTTTCAGAAGGGAGCTATGACATCATATGTGATATCATCAAGCTCAATGAGCACTGCTATGGCAGCACGTGAGGGCATTGCCGTTGCAATGTGGTTTGTGTAGCGATTTTGTGCACAGTGAGGCAGTTCCTCTCCAGTCCTCTAGGTGTCCTCCTCCGGCACACCCAAACCTCTTCTTCTGACAGCCTCGGCTCCGCCCACCGGCTGCCACTCTTCAGTCTTTCCCCCATACTCGTCTTCATCATCCTCTTCCTCTCCATCTGCTTCCTGCTCATCTTCAGATTGCTGCAGGAGACGCACCTGCCCCGCAAGCAGTTTCCCTACAGAAACATTCACGCGTCCACAATTACACAATATCGTCTTTAAGTTTTAATTAAATCTCTGTTACGTTAGAAGTTCTCGTAGTCAAGCAGGTATAGGTTCATTTAAAACATTCACACTTACTGTGGTGATAATCTGGTGAAAGTCGTCGTGATGGGAACACAAAATCTGCGACGAAAACCAGCACCTGAGAGGAAATAACATGAAATCAGGGAGACGTGACCGACAATTGATTCCAATGGAGTTTGACGTGAACATGTTCTAAGTTAATGATTCAAAATAGCACCAAGTATTAAATGTGACTTTTTTTCTGATGATTTTCACTACATAATTCATTACATTTATATAGCGCTTTTCTAGGCACTCAAAGCGCTTCACATGGAAGGGGGGGAATCTCCTCAACCACCACCAATGTGCAGCATCCACCTGGATGATGTGACGGCAGCCATAGTGCGCCAGAACGCCCACCACACACCAGCTTACTGGTGGAGAGGAGACCGAGTGATGAAGCCAATCAGTGTGTATATATATATATATGGGGCTGATTAGGAGGCCATGATGGACAGAGGCCACTGGGCAAATTTGGCCAGGATGCTGGGGTTACACCCCTACTCTTTCGAAAGACATCCTGGGATTTTTAATGACCACAGAGAGTCAGGACCTCGGTTTAACGTCTCATCCGAAGGACGGTGCTCTTTGACAGCATTGTGTCCCCGTCACTATACTGGGGTGTTAGGACCCACACAGACCACAGGGTGAGCGCCCCCTGCTGGCCTCACTAACACCTCTTCCAGCAGCAACCTGGTTTTCTCAGAAGGTCTCCCATCCAGGTACTAACCAGGCTCAGCCCTGCTTAGCTTCAGTGGGCAAACAGTCTTGGGCTACAGGGTGATATGGCTGCTGGCCATATTAAGGAAATATATAGGGTACGTTTACACGACAACGATATACAAAAAATGTAAAAGTTGTTCCTTTGTGTTTTTTTTGCAATGTTGTCAAAACGATTCCGGTTCACACAGATCCGCGAAAACAACTAAACCTGCTGTATTATGCTGCCATACCAGTAGCTAGTGTTGTCACGATACTAGAATTTCTAACTTCGATACGATACCTTGAAAAATATCGATATTCGATACCATTTTCGATACCACGGAGAAAAAGCTGCCACAATATTAAGGGGGTATTTTTTTAATTTAAAGCTAAATATAACAAGTCTAGAACATGACAATGAGGTATATTTTACACGAACAAAAATGTCCTGAGTTCTATTTGTTTATATTTTTTAATTGGACCAGAGCTAACATGATGTATTTTTATTACCTACTGTTATCAAAGATTAAAATATACTGTAACAAAAAAGCACTTAACAGTATCAAATTGGAGGATAGAGAGTCAGTAATGTATAATAATAAGATTAAACATTCAATTTTCAGTTAAAGGCATGTCATTATTGAATTCAGAGATAGCTGTTTAGTTTAATTAATATCTGTGTAATCAAATTGATGATAATCGCTAATGAAGGAAAATTGCAGAATTAAATAATAATTTTTTAATAAAGTTAAATAGGCACCAGTTAATTTACATTTGACCACAGTTACAATATTTACTTGTCTAAGATTCCTCAGTCAGATTATGTTAACTTTAAGAATTAAAACGAGACAACACAGACTCTTATCAACAACAATACTAGGCCCTCTTGGTTAATGTTTCAGAAAAGTTAAAATGAGAAGAGTTACAGTGTTTCCTTGAGGACTTTTTTTTAGCAGTGGGGGCAGGTCTGTCCAAACAAGACCTGTATCGATACTTCGGGAAATTAGTATTGGTACCGTTCAGATATTTCAGTATCGATATTTATCGAAATATCGATATTTTTGACAACACTACCAGTAGCTAGCGATTATGTCACTTTGTAAAGAAACACTACGTGCCAATAGACTGAACACATAATACACATGCACATGACATCGCCATTTTCACAAATTTGTGCTTTTGTAGTTTACACTGAGTCGAAAACAGTAGTTTTCAAAAACTTGCAATTTGAAACCCATTTTCAAGTTTGCGTCTTCAGACCAACAAAACGCCGTTGTTGTGTAATCGAAAGGCCAAAACACGTAAAAAGTTTTAAATCGTTTAAATGGCCCCTTAGACATTTCTCTTAAAGGTGCCCTAGAATGTTTTTGTTTTTTTATTTTATAATGTTTCCTGGGTTACCCTTATAATGTTAGTATGTTTTTTAGATAAAAAATAATCATAATTTAGAAATAAATGGCATTTTTCCTAGCCTGCTTTTAGCCTCTGATTTGAACACTCTGTTTGAAGGGGCGTGTCTGCTGTGGGATTCAGTGTAACCGCGGCCACTGCTGTGATTGGCTGACATGCTTGCATATGAAATAGCAACGCATTACATGTGAAACTCTCTCCCGAATACTTTTACTACTGCTATTATACGTTTTTACTATAACAGCTATCGAGATTAACGAATCGTGAGATGTTTTTAAAGTATTTAGATCTATTCCCATCACATAAAATGTTGCCGTGATGAGCATTGAGCAGATGACAGTCTGTTGATCGCGAGAATGAAGATCTTATCATTGTAAAACAGTTTCTGCACTCTCTCTGCTTTCACCAATGCAAACACGATGATGTAAATACAGTAAGAGCTTCGTTGTGCAGTAACTTGCGTCATTGATTTCATAACGAGTTTGGCAAGTGTCCAGATAAACTCGCGCTGTGTGGAAAGATTGTTCTTTGATCGCTTTCTGTATATAATTTGTTCACAATTTAAATACGATTATTTTCATCCTACTAAAAGAAACGATGTGAAGTTGATATTTTAGTCACTGGCTTGACTTACTGATGCATAAACAGTATTGAACGATTTTGAGAGAAAGATTACCTGTCTGAACTTGAACAATTACACATCAGAAAGTGTTGCTTGGTAGCTCGATCCGAGGCCAGCTCTGTATTGGCCAAAGTTGAGGAAACAGTCGGTGAAATGTTTGGAAATTTCCAGAGAAAATAAAATTAACCCATTGTTTCTTCAGAGGCTCAGATGAAGGAACTAAAAAATACTTTTGTGTTCATGTGTACATCCAAACACTGAGCAACTGCCATGCTTCGGCTGCGCAGTTCCGCCTGGCATTGAGGGCTGGCATTATGCAAATATTTGGAGGCGTACATATTAATGATCCCGACTATTGCGTCACAGTTGGTATTGTGTGGAGAACCGACCGTTTTTCAGGGGTGTTTTTCATAAACGTGAATTAAATGAGAACGCGAAAACAGTCCAGTTTGAGATTCACTCTATGTCATGTCCATGCACTGAACTCTTGTTATTTGACTATACCAAGGTAAATTCAATTTTGAATTATAGGTCACCTTTAAATCATCCATGATTTTGGATGAATGAGCTTTTTGCAGTGCATTCTGGGATTTTCCACTCCAAAAATTACACTTGAAACAGATCTTGGGTCAATAAGATTTTTAAAAGATATTTAATTCAGCAAGGATGCATTAAATTCCTCAAAGGTGGCAGTAAAGACATTTATAATGTAAAAAAAAATAAAAATCCATTTCAAAATCTGTTCTTTGAAGCTTTCCATTCATCAAAGAATCCTGAAAGGATGTATCGAGGTTTCCACCAAAATATTAATAGGCATTACTGTTTTCAACATTGATAATAATAAGAAATGTTTCTTGAGCCCCAAAATCAGCATATTAGAATGATTTCTGTAAGATCATGTGACACTGAAGACTGGAGTAATGATGCTGAAAATTCAGCTTTGCCATCAAAGAAATAAATTAGATTTTAAAATACACATTTTAAATTGTTATAATATTTACAATATCACTTTTTACTGTATTTAAAATCAAATAAATGCAGCCTTGTTGAGAATAAAAGACTGAGCAGTGAGCATAAGAAAATACAAGGTAGTTTAGTGTATTTGTGTACACTCACCAATCCAAGAGTCAATCCTGAGATGAGTGTTGCCAGAGCAAATATCCCATACGAGCCCCAAACCGGGACGCCCAGCTGCTCCGTTAAGTAATTATGGCAATGCTGAAACAAATGATGTTAAAAGATCATTTAAATTACTGCATGAAAAAAATCCATGAGCAGATTATAAATTTACCAGGTATTTATTACAAAATCATTATAACCATAAAATAAGTTTATTTTCCACTGGCTTCAAATTATGTTTGCAAAAAGCTCATGCAATAAAATTATTTGAACCAAATCACATTTCATATTTCATTTTTTGTTTATTTTTTTTAAGTAGCTTTGTCATATGCAGGATAATGTAGTCAGGGCAGGCAATCGTTATTGTAAAAAAAAAAAAAACACAACCTTCAGGATTATAGTCCCCTCTTCTTTAAATCAGGCAGTTTATTTTAAATGTACATTGACTATTTGAGTGTATATTTCCCCTCACTGTCTGTTGCTGGTTCCTTCACCATTAGCTTGAGGTATAAATTATCTGTGCATGTAAGTTGTAACTCTTAAATTATTCACAAAATTGCTAAGAAAATAATACAATTAAATACACAGGTCTGAGAGGAATGCATTTTAATATTAAAAGACATACACACTCACCCTGATGAACATGGATAACTTAAAGAGGGCTGACATTGCGTTCATCCTACAAAAAATAAATATCAGTCAAAGTCATTTTATCAAATCAACTGTAAAAATAGTCAATTATAGTGTGCTGCCTTATGAATCAAGTTTTACATTAACCACAGGCTGTGGGTTCTCTGATCTCCGTTTTCTGGAGACTTTGCCAGACTCACCCAGAGCCCTTTGCATTATAACAGAATTTGAAACCACCCACACACACTACAAATACTCACAGGAAGGAAGAGGGGCCGAACCAGGAAGAGACCGGCTCTATGCTCTGCCATTTCTTGTCATCAATGAAGCTCAGGAAGTCGTCTTTAGATCGGGCTCCTTGATATCTCCGAAACACACCATCTTTACAGCTGCAACAACACACACACACACTTAACCAAGTTTAAACTGAGTTTACACCCAACACACAGGTACAGTGCAGATGACTGATAAACAAAACAATTGCTGGTGTCTATCTATCTACCTACCTCTATACAACTGTTCAAAATATCTATACAACTGTTCAATAGTTTGGTGTCAGAAAGACTTTTTAAAAAAAATATATATATTTTATTCAGCAAGGACACATTAAATTGATAAAAATGACATCAATAATTTCTATTTGAAATAAATGTTGTTCACCAAACTTTTTTTATTCATCAAACAATCCTGTAAATACGTATCACGGTTTCCACAAAAAAAAAAAAAAAAAAAAAAAAATTAAGCAGCTACTCTTTTCAACATTGATAAGAATAAGAAATGTTACTTGAGCAGCAAATCAGCATATTAGAATGATTTCTGAAGGATCATGTGACACTGAAGACTGGAGTAATGAATGATGCTGAAAATTCAGCTTTACCATCACAGGAATAAAGAAAACTGTCATTTTAAACTGTAATATTTTTTCACGATTTAACTATTCTTGACTGTATCTAACCATCACCCACCAATTACCAACTAACTAACTATCTTCTAAAGACAGGGTTAAATGTGTGTAAATGGTATGAAACTCACTGGTAGATAGTTGGGAGAGCTGTGATGATAAACCTCCCACTCAAACCTGCAGAACAGAGAGAGAGAGAGAGAGAGAGAGAGAGAGAGAGAGAGAGAGAGAGAGAGAGAGAGAGAGAGAGAGAGAGAGAGAGAATGGAGTGAGACCCATAAGGACAGCAGATCAGGTGAGCAGAGAAACCAGATGTGAGGAGAGAAGCCAGATGTGAGGAGATAACAGCATACCCGGCTGCTCGGTGACGTCCACTTTGGCAATGCTCAATCCCAAATCTTCTCCCCATTCTGCAAACTCATTCCACACGGGCTGGAGCTGCTGGCAGGCCGGACACCATGGAGCAAAGCTGCAGTAGACAGACAAACCTTTAATCCAATAACACAATCCCAGCCAGAGGAGACACAAAGACACTGAGGCTCATTTGTTTTCCATGGGATCTATTTAACTACAATCCTCTTGTTCGATGGCTCTAGCAGGAGGAAGCGTGCTGTGCAGGGGGAGAAAAGACTGTGTCAACTTTAATATTTTTTGGAAGGCAATGCATTAAAAGAATAGTGAAATTTCTGACATAATTTACTCACTATCATGTTTTTCCAAAACTGTATGACTTTCCTCTGTTGAATACAAAAGGAGATGTTATCCAGAATGACAGCCTCGGTCACCATTCAGTTTCTTTGCATCCGTTTTACATACAAGTGAACGGTGACTGAGGTTATCGTTCTGTCTAATATATCCGTTTTCTTCTTCATAGAAGGAAGAAAATCATATGAGGCTGATTAAATGATTACATCCCTTTGATTTTGGCAAACTCTTTAACTTCAAAACCACAGAACTTCCTCTAACCTGAGCCCAGTACAAGAACACGGTGACGGTAGTAAAAAAAATAATGAAATAATCTGAAGTTATTGTTGTGTAATTATTATCATGTGTACACTGGTAATGGTAATGCAAAAATAAACACAGACTTTTTTTTGCACAACTCAATCTAATAACTCACAACTCGATCATCCATTCTCCAGTCAGGATTTCCTCCCAGTTACCATCTGTGATTTCTCTTAATTTACCCGGCTTGGCCGATGAGGGCTGCAGCATCACACATGTTGCGATAAGCGCAGAAAATACACACAAGCCGGCTGTCATCTCCCTGACTCTGCGTGTGTATGTGCACGCCATGTTTCAGCGCCCACTGCTTCCCTTCCGCTTCCGCCTCCACTCCCACGTGCTGCTGGTGGGCGGGGCCAAGTCATTGACGTCATGACGCACGGCGTTCGAAAAGGTTTACAACAAATTTTTTTTGTCTATGGTTTACAACATAATTTAACCCACTTCAAGACACTTATGCCTAATTAACATACGATTAATTAATTTTACATCGTACTGTTTGATTATTCCATAAAAATTATTGTTCTGTTTGTCTTGTTTCATCTGCTATTAGGTATTTTTCTACTTTAATAAAATGTATTATAAAAATATTCTATTAATATGTATTATATATATATATATATATATATATATATATATATATATATATATATATATATATAGAGAGAGAGAGAGAGAGAGAGAGAGAGAGAGAGAGAGAGAGAGAGATGATAAATACAAAATACACTTAAAAATAAAATTAATTATAAACATTTTCCACACATATATATATATATATATATATATATATATATATATATATATATATATATATATATATATATATATATATATATATATATATATATATATATATATATATATATATATATATATATATAGTATGTATATCAGTAGAAAATGTTTATAATTCATTTTATTTTTAAAGTATTTATTTTGTATTTAGGTAATGTATTTCCAATTATATTTGCCTGAAATTAAATAATTAATTTAATTTACATATAATTTATATATTATATATAACGGTTTGCTTTTTCTTTTTATTGGGACCAAAAATGTCAAAACACAAGGTGGCGATATGAGTTCTGCTATTTGTGAAAGTCCATGTAGGCCTACTGATTTTACTGCAGTTTTTTTGTGAATCCTAGGAGAATATAAAATCTCGACGATTGTAGATTTACACTGTGTGTGGGGTGGGGGGGGTGGAGAGTCGCAGATCAATCGAGAAAAGAGATTTTTTCAGGCACAAAAAAAATCAGGCACACACACACACACACACACACACACGCACACACACACACACATGTTTCTCTCTCTCTCTCTGCTGACAAATGAGTGCTAATGACAGCAGTGATGTGATAATTTCTTTTCCACAGTGAATATGTTAAACATTTACATATTCATGAGATTCCTGAGATTAATGTAACTGTTTTATCAAGAAAGGGGTGTGTGTGTATATATATATATGCAGTATCTCACAAAAGTTAGTACACCCCTCACATTTTAGCAAACATTTTTGTATATCTTCTCAAGGGACAATAAATGAAACTTAAATATATTTTAGAGTAGTCAGTGTGCTTCTTGTATAGCAGGAGCCTATATATTTACTGTCCTCTGAAAATAACTCAACATAGAGCCATTATTGTCAAAATAGCTGGTAATAAAAGTGAGTACACCCTAAGTGATAATAGCTCTACGTCGTTTAACCATGCAAAGTCCTATTCATGCTTTTGTCTGCTTGACATGATCATACAAAATTTGTGTATCTTGTATGAAATGAGAGCAGTTAAAATTTGTGCTTTGAGTGCAATTCTCTCATACTGACCACTGGATGCTCAACATGGCACCTCATGGCAAAGAACTCTCTAAGGATTTGAGAATTAGAATTGTTGCTCTCCACAAAGATGGCCTAGGCTAAAAGAAGATTGGTAACACCCTGAAACTGAGTTACAGTACAGTGGCCTCGATCATACAGAGGTTTTCCAAGACGGGTTCCACTCGTAACAGGCCTCGTAATGGTCAATCAAAGAAGTTGAGTCCTCGTGCTGTGCGTCAGGTGCAGAAGCTGGCTTCAAAAAACAGACGTGATCGTGCCAGCATTGCTTTAGAGGTTGCAGAAGTGGAAGGTCAGCTTGTCAGTGCTCAGACCATACGCCGCACACTGTAACAAGTCGGTTTGCATGGCCGTCGTCCCTGAAGGAAGTCTCTTCTGAAGCTGGCTCACAAGAAAGCCCGCAAACAGTTTTCTGAAAGCAACCTCTCCAAGAGCATGAATTACTGGAACCATGTCCTGTGGTCTGATGAGACTAAGATAAACGTGTTTGGCTCAGATGGTGTCCAGCATGTGTGGCGAAGCCCTGGTAAGGAGTACCAAGAACATTGTGTCTTGCCTACAGTCAAGCATGGTGGTGGTAGCTTCATGGTCTGGGGCTGCATGAGTGCCGCTGGTACTGGGGAGCTGCGCTTCATTGAGGGAAACATGGATTCCAACATGTACTGTGACATGTTCTGAAGCAGAACATGATGCCCTCCCTTCAGAAACTGGGCCGAACGGCATGATAACGACCGCAAACACACCGCCAAGATTACAACTGCCTTGCTGAGGAAGCTGAAGGTGAAGGTGATGGAGTGGCCAAGTATGTCTCCAGACCTGAACCCTGTTGAGCACCTGTGGGACGTCCAACATCCAGCAGCTCCATGATGTCATTATGTGGAAGAGGATCCCAGCAACAACCTGTGCAGCTCTGGTGAATCCCATGCCCAGGAGGATTAAAGCAGTGCTAGATAACAATGGAGCTCACACAACATATTGACACTTTGGACAGTTTTGACATGTTCATTTAGGGTGTACTCACTTTTGTTGCCACTTTTGTTGACAATAATGGCTGTGTGTTGAGTTATTTTAAGAGGACAGGAAATATATACTCTATACAAGCAGCACATTGACTTCTCTAAAATATATCCAAGTTTCATAGTATTGTCCCTTGAGAAGATATACTAAAATGTTTGCTGAAATGTGAGGGGTGTACTCACTTTTGTGAGATACTATATATATATATGTATATATACAGTCTGTTGTGTGAGCAAAGTCAAATATAAAACGCTTTCAAATAGGTGATTTTCTTTTTCTAAAGCTGCTTATTTTGTGTGTATTTCTTCATCAATGTCTGGCTTTGTGAATGTTGATCTGTAATTGAACGTCATTTAACCCCATCTCAAATTATGGACTGTGTTTGATACAATTCTGTCGTGAACATGATAAAGGGGAAAATATTATGAATACAGGATATGTGAAACATTTTTGGAATAAAACGGCCAGATATCTAGGATACATTGATTGTTTGCATTTTTGAATGCATCCTAATACACACATTAAGTAATATTTTCACATGTGTATAATTTGAATGTAATTGTAAATGACGTGCAATAAAAATATTCTGTTCACACATCATGTCAAGTGTCCTCACACATCATGTCTCACATTTTATCTCAAGCATGCCTTTCACTCATCATTTTGTTTCCCTGGTAACCAAGATAAAACTTTATTAGATAGAAACATTGTTCATTGCAGTGGAAATAAACTGATATAAAAACTGATATCAATCATTTTCACGCCATATATTGAAATAGTTTATGATTATTTCACTCCATGTTTAATATATTTAAATTAATATAATAATATTTTTTAACGATGGGTCAGGGTCTGGGACAAAAAACAATACAGTTTCAAAATATCAGTTTAAAAAGTAACAAGCAAACAAATAAATTAACAAAATAAATAGAAAGATGAGAAATCAGGAGGCTTAAATCTGCAGAGTACATTATTATGTGATTAAAAGAATCTTCTCCGTTCATTCCTCAATCATTTCATCCGGTTAACACCATCTACGGAGTGTTACGCAGTGACCGTTCTCACTGACGTCTGCCACACACACACACACACACACACACACACACACACGACAGGATGCACGTGGGAGGAGAGAAAACGCCGGAGACAGCATGAATAGGAGTAGGTGGATAGAGAAATCTACTTTCCCCCTCTATTTCTCATCCTCAATCTCAAAAAGGCTTTTACCTGTTATGCAAGGCGCTGCCTACTCTCAGCATCATAGAAAGAGCCTGCTCATTTTCAGATGTACCAAAAATAAATTACATTCTGTGAACTACTGCCATACATATATGCTAATGGACAGGCATACTCATAAAAACCCTATTATAGATGCGGGTTGTCTTCATTAGATTGCATTACAGCTTTTATGTAACTGTGGATGATGAACAGCTTGTGCACTCAAACAGAAGAAGAAAAAAGAACTTAACACTAAATCCACACACAGCACGGTCTGATTGATTCCTATTTGACGCAGAACTCTAAATCTCTACAGCTGGGATGTAGATATTCTATGTTGTGTTATAGGGACACAGTCCAAGCCAATTTCTGGAGCTGCAACTCCTTCTGCCTGGAGATTTTAAGTCTCCAAAATCTTTCAGAAGATTGAGCATCACCTCCTTCACCAAGAGCAGCTCCAGATGGACAGACTGAAGCTGAGAGCCAGAGAGAGTTGCAGAGCTGTTCTAGGTTTACTGTGCAGCTGCGAGTATACAATCGCTGTCCTTGCTGGTCTTTAGAGATCGAGCTTGAGCAACACAAGCTTTGAGAATGGACCCTTTTCACATTTCTGTGGTTCTCAGAAGCAGAAGTCGTCATTGGGTAAACTTCTATAGTGGTGAATGGGAGGCGACAGCAAATGTAATTTTTGTATTCCCATTTGCTCCAATAGCAAAAAAAAAATCCATGATATAATTTCCAAGACTTTCCGAAAGAGGGAAAAATATAGAGAGATTGATTACAGCAGTCAGAAGAGAGAATGATGAGAAATTTGCCATTACTCATGTGTTAGTTTGGGTTAATTTCTTTTTTTCTCTAATTTAATTCCAAGGTAATATGACATAGTATGATTAGAAACTTAAGAGTATATATGTGAATAATGAAACCCAAAGAGTTATAAATGTGTATTAAAAGAAATTATGAAAAATATTTAGGCCTACTGGATTTGCAATGTTGATAACTGTGGAAATGCGTCATCACAGTCGGTGAAATGCATTTAATCAACAAATAATGATGTAAGTGAAGAAAAATCTGTAGTAAAAGTTCTATTAAATAGATTAGATAAATAATTGAATATATAAAGTTGATTTGATTAAGAGTTTTGTAACACAGAAATCACTCTCATCAGCATTTTGAGGTTGTTAGGTTTCTGATAGTTCAGTTCAGAATCTTGGCAGAAAAAACTAGCTAGAGTAAGATATTTCTGCTCAAAAATGTTCCCTCTCAGGTCTTTATCTGGCAACATAGAGTTTGAAAAAATATGGTTTAACAAAGTTTTATGGCTTTTAGTCCATGTGTTTGGGGTTTGAGGTAATCTACAGCATTTACTGTACTGCTAAACTCGGAGAGAATTTAAGATAGCAGATACATTCAGTTGCTTTTTTCTCTTCCCGGAGACAGAGGCAAAAATATTGATGATGCTTTCTGCACTACAACGATTTTATCTCTAGCATGAGAATGTCCCTCCCCCAAATTATCTTCAAGTCAACTAAGTAGCAGCAAATCGTGGCAAGGAAAAACAACAGTTAGTTGACCAATGTGCTGTATAATTAAAAAACAATGCAAAAAGCAAACATACCAATATTATACGTACAGACGTCCGTCTAACTACTCAACATAAAACGAAACAATCCAACATATCAATAGGGTTCAACAACAACAAAAAAGAAAGAAAGAAATGACAACAGTGTGGAGGCAGTTCTAATGTGCAAAGGCACAAAAAATCGAATTCAAATATTGACAAAAAAAATTATAATATATAGATGATACTGAAATATCACTATTCATGCACTTAAATAATATTCTGAAGCAATAATACATGTGTGTTGCACTGTGTCCCATACGTGGATTGCTTTTGCACACATTATTTCTCCATTAGTTTTCTAATAAATGCTGATTATTTTAGATTAATTTTGGATTCAGAAGGTCGAGATCTGAGCATCACCTTGAAGATGATTATGCAAATACAGCTGACTCTCTCTGAGAATCTCAATAACTAACTGGCCCCAGTTCTGCTCTGTGACCCAATTACTGTCATAAGAATAAAAATGATTAAGCAATTAATTTCCCCCTACAGATAGGCCTACTCACCAGAGTGGCACATGGACAAAATTCACATGGCTCTCAAATCACAGGCCTTCTAACACACACACACAAACACACACACACACACAAACTCAACAACAACCGTCCTCAATACGCCCACACACTCTCTTGCACTCCTCTACTAGCACTCACGTTTACAAAACACATGACACAAACACTACAACTTCAAAAAATTGGTCAAATCAATAGCAGCAGCACTATAATAGTTTGCCACACACCTGACTATAGCACCATCCGCATTATTCTAAAACACACCATTATATGTCCTATAAACAAACTAAACATTATTAGAAGCAACAATTGCTCGTTCGTTCGCTGTCTGACGGTAGACAAAAAGTGTTTGACAGTTGTAATTTCTCAATTTGCTCTCTCTTTGGTTACCATGGAAATTTAGCTGAAGGCAATTATCATCACCCACCAGGCCAGCAATTAGGGTAGAACATTTCAGATTTAGCTCCTACATTTCAGCTGTCGAACACTACAACCGAAGACTGACTTGTGATGTAGCCTACATAAACGCGCGCGTGATGGATAGGAAAAATCAGGCGCGCTGTGAGAACAGGTGCACTACCACAAACATTGGCTCTGTGTGTCTCAAATTCATCAAGCACTCCTGCTTTGCATCATCAGTTTGATTGGATTCCTGGAGCTCATCACATAAACTGACAGCGATTTTATGCAGTAGCTGTTGGCGCTCGTGCCCCAGCCTACGCCCACAGAATATATACCGCCCCCTCCTCTATCCTCCGGTGCATAGGACGGAGAGCGCGAAGGAGACGCGTCCGTGCGGAGTTGCCATCGGTGGGAATATTCGTTTAGAGGAAGTCTCCGAATCCGCCTCGAACGACAAAAATGGATGAAATGGAAGAGGAGTTAAAATGCCCGGTGTGCGGCTCGTTTTTCCGCGAGCCGATCATACTGCCCTGCTCGCATAATATCTGCCTGGCCTGCGCGAGAAACATCCTTGTGCAGACGCCCGACGCCGAATCCCCGCAGAGCAGCCGCGCGTCCGGCTCTGGCGTCTCCGATTATGATTACTTGGACCTGGATAAGATGAGCCTGTACAGCGAGGCGGACAGCGGATACGGCTCTTACGGCGGGTTCGTGAGCGCACCGACCACCCCGTGCCAGAAGTCCCCTAACGGGGTGCGAGTTTTCCCCCCTACCGTGCCTCATCCGCCCCAGGCGCAACACCACCTGCTGCCTCACACCGGCGTCCTGCCGCCGGTCCCGCGGAACTCCTGCCTCACCTGCCCGCAGTGCCACCGCAGCTTGACTCTGGACGACCGGGGGCTCCGGGGCTTCCCCAAGAACCGCGTGCTCGAGGGAGTGGTGGACCGGTACCAGCAGAGCAAAGCGGCCGCGCTCAAGTGTCAGCTGTGCGAGAAGAGTCCCCGCGAGGCGACGGTCATGTGCGAGCAGTGCGACGTGTTCTACTGCGACCCGTGCCGCCTCCGGTGCCACCCGCCCCGGGGTCCGCTGGCTAAACACCGGCTCGTGCCGCCGGCGCAAGGCAGAATCAGCCGCCGCGCGAGCCCCCGGAAGATCTCCACCTGCACCGAGCACGAGCTGGAGAACCTGAGTATGTACTGCGTCCAGTGTAAGACCCCCGTGTGCTACCAGTGTCTGGAGGACGGCAAACACTCCACTCATGAGGTCAAAGCGCTGGGGGCCATGTGGAAGCTCCACAAGGTGGGGAAACTGGTTGAGGTTGTTGTTGTTGTTGTTGTTGTTGTTTATTTATTACATTTCCCCCCTAATGACTAAAAAAGCATCTCTGGCCAAATGGTTTTTAGCAGGTATCACTGATAAACATCCTAAATGTCTCACAGCCTGGTCTTCAGTAGAATGCCCTAAACCCTTTAAAACCAGCTTAAATGTTGTCCTTTCAGCCTGCTGAGCGCTCTGGTTTTAGTGTAAGGGTCTGTGATAGTGCAGTAAGACTTGTCACTGTGATGGGTGAGACACCACCGGTCTAATTAAAACACAGCGCACGGCACAGCCAGCCATGATTCAGGCCAAATGAAAAAGCACTTGTGCTCCAGCTCTCCGGTTTAGATTTAACAGGAAAAGCTATAAATGACAAACCTTCTTATGGAAATATGTTGGATTTTGAGGCATCTATGAGAACCGCAGTGCACGGTCAGGGCTGTTTTAAAGGGATGGAGGTTTAATTCTCCTGTGGTGATGTTGTGATGCACGTTTTAATTCAAATTCGTTGATTGAACTCAAATATACAGGTTGCTCGTGTTAACTGTGTGTGTGTGTGTGTGTGTCTGGATTCCTCAGGGAATGTGCAAAACCACTGTGACACTGGCCGGTTGTTGTAGCAACATGAGGCAGAGCTGATTTACTGTGTCTGTCTGTGAAGGAGAAAGGAGTGTATCCAATGGAGAGCCAAAGAATGAGGGAAGAGTCCCCTCTCTTTCTCTTAGTCCTAACATGCTGCACCATGCGAGTCAATAAGTTTAAATAAAATTGTGAGTGACTCTCAGCTAGACCGTTTTATTTAATCAGAAACCATAAACATGAGCAATCAACAGGTATATGGAGATGATGGATCAATAAGCACATGGTTTAACATGGCACACAAAAGTCATGTCTGTACATTACCCTTTTAATTTAGAAATATTTTTGTTGGTGTGAGACAATATTGGTGATGCATCGATATTAAAATGCTGGGTGATAAGCCAATAATTATTGTCATATTATGGGAGATAACCAATAAATGGGCAATATGTTGAATATAGTCATTTTAAATGTTTTAAGTGTATTTAGGCACCACAACATTATAATGTACAATATAAAAATTAATATTCATTCTGATATTTGCAAATATCAATATCTGATATTTCGTAATTTCCAGCCACGCATTTTGAAATCATTTACTCACGGTTTGTGATGCAGCTGCTGTGAGATTCAATACAATTGGCTGCTGCATCTGTTAACCCTTAAATGCAGGAATGTTTCGCCAATCATTATTACATATTTGGGTCTTTAGTGACCCGGATCTATATCTAACACAGATGGATCTCTACCAGTCGTGATAATCTAAAACTCTCCTGATATTAGAGTAACCTTTATAGAAGAATAAAATAAAGCATATTTTGTTACCTTTTGGAGCTTGAAGAGTTCAGTTTGAGTTCATCACGGTCCTCATCAGAGCTCATTTCCCAGTACATTCAGCATCTGGTTCGTATTCGAGATCTCAAACATACATGTTTTCAACATGTTCAAAATCAATATTTTGATCGCTGACAGCTTCTTCACCAGATCCACCATTAAGTGACAGTGACACTAATATTTGATTGCTTTCAGTATTCGCTGAGCCATTTCAAGAATTGCTGATGATATTTCCTATTCTGTTGTTTTCTGCCTGCGGTAACTATGAGTGAAACAGCACTTCATCATTGTGTATGAAAGGGAAAAAAGGTATTCTTTTATAATTTATTATATTTTCTTGTTGTATTGTTTATATTGTGTTGATTAAGGAATTCTGAGAAGGTTGATATCTAACTTTAAAAAATGAATGAGGAGGAGGGTAGTGAATGACGTCCCGAGTAACTAAAGACCTGAGGTATGCGTTTAAGGGTTTGCGAACTGTTAATTTTTCCTCATTTACAAAGCAATCTGTGGTCAAATTCTCTGAACAAACATATAATCCGCCAATGTGATACAGGACACCATTAAAATAAACCATCCAGTTGTTCCTGAACCTGGTATTCTTCTGAAGTCTCTATAGAAATGAGCAAATGAGCTGTTTAGACAGAATGTATCAAAGCGAACTTTCCTTTATGCTTCTATTCACTGTTGTCCTGTTGTCGATAGACTCTGAACGGGCATCTGTATCCAGTGTATACAGCGTCATACATATAATGGGTTCTATTTGCTTTTGACGCGACGCTCGCATTCAGTGCTGGCAAGTGTCAGCCGTTAAGCGATGGTGCAATGATGTAAAACTATTTGTTTTTATGTCTTGCTCTGGAGGCAAAGAAGCATTAAATTGGTCAAAAGTGACAATATTACAAAAGATTTTAATAAAAAGAAATGCTTTAAAAACGTTCTATTCCCCAACAAATCCTGAAATTATCAATGTTTAATGCTTAATATTTTAGTTTTTTACAGTTTCCACAAAAATATTAAGCAGCACAACCTTTTTAAATATTGATAATAAATGTTTCTTGAGCAGCTAATCAGCAGATTAGAATGATTTCTAAAGGATCACGTGACACTGAAGACTGGAGTAATAATGCTGAAAAAAAATGAAGAAAATTCTGCTTTGTCTTCACAGAAATATATTACTTTTTAAAACATTTCACAACATTACTGTTTTAACTGTATTTTTGATTAAATAAATGCAGCCTTGGTGAGTATAAGAGACTTCTTTCAAAAACATGAACAGATCTTTTGAACAGTTATGTATATCTAATATTGACTGAGAAATCACTATACATTTTTACTCTATCAATTAGAAATGAAATAATAGTATATTATATAGAAATATTATATAGAAATGAATAATAGTACATTTGAAAATAGTACATTTAAGGTATGTGGTTGCATTTTATTTTGCATTTTAAATGGTACTAATATTCACCCCTCTCACTTTTGAAGAAGATATGGAGACATTTTTATGGGCAGACAGATGTGAGAGCAGAAAAAGTTACTTAATTCATGCACTGCATTATTCTTTGTGTTAAGCTACATCATTTTAGGTTCAGTTACTTTACTCTCTGTTCATAGCTCCATGTGTGATGTTGTGATTGCATAATATCTGTTTGAACTGGGACAGCAACTTTACGGCAGACCCAAATACAGCTCCCCCTTTTAGCACCTGGGACACACACACACACACACACACACACACACACACACACACACACACACACACAAACACACACACACACACACAAACACACACACACACACACACACACACACACACACACACACACACACACACACACACACACACACACACACACACACACACACACACACACACACACAGAGAAGATCTTGGATCAGTGTCCTCTACTACGGTCCCATCTGTAGCTTTTTCACTGAACACTGGTGAGCTGGCCTCATATCAGAGGAAAATGGCCTCTTTCCGCACTGCAGACACTTGCTCGTCATTCACTAAACAGATTGTAGTTTTGCTTTAGCCTCAGGGCCCCATATGCTACTTTTTCTCTCATTTTCTCCATCTATCTCTTGGTGTCACAGACACTTACACAGCAAGCAGGAAATGGGGCCTGTGTGTTGATGCTATAAAAGATTTTTACTTGAAGGGAATATATTCCTGCTTTTTGCAACAGTGCAAAATATTTCAATTAGTATTTAATTAGTAAAATAGTAGTCCACAGATATGGCTTTTATCTAGAGAGCTGAGTGTCAGATATCATGTCGATATGCAGGCCTACATCATTTTTTTTTACATTTGTTTTGAACTTATTTTGCATGATTACTTATTTTACAATGTTTACTGACTATTCACTTAATTGTGATAAAAAAAAAAAAACATTTTCCAGTGAAAAAGGCTGGTGTTAGATTTTGGAACTAGTTTATCTTTAGTACAAAACATACATAAACATACAGTACTATCTCACAAAAGTGAGTACACCCGTCACATTTCAGCAAACATTTTAGTATATATCTTCTCAAGGGACAATATAGAAATGAAACTTGGATATATTTTAGAGTAGTCAATGTGCTTCTTGTATAGCAGTATACGTATATTTATATACTCTTAAAATAACTCAACACACAGCCATTATTGTCAAAATAGCTGGCAACAAAAGTGAGTACACCCTAAGTGAACATGTCAAAACTCTGTCCAAAGTGTCAATATTTTGTGTGAGCTCCATTGTTATCTAGCACTGCTTTAATCCTCCTGGGCATGGGATTCACCAGAGCTGCACAGGTTGTTGCTGGGATCCTCTTCCACATAATGACATCATGGAGCTGCTGGATGTTGGACGTCCCACAGGTGCTCAACAGGGTTCAGGTCTGGAGACATACTTGGCCACTCCATCACCTTCACCTTCAGCTTCCTCAGCAAGGCAGTTGTAATCTTGGCGGTGTGTTTGCGGTCGTTATCATGCCGTTCGGCCCAGTTTCTGAAGGGAGGGCATCATGTTCTGCTTCAGAATGTCACAGTACATGTTGGAATCCATGTTTCCCTCAATGAAGCGCAGCTCCCCAGTACCAGCGGCACTCATGCAGCCCCAGACCATGAAGCTACCACCACCATGCTTGACTGTAGGCAAGACACAATGTTCTTGGTACTCCTTACCAGGGCTTCGCCACACATGCTGGACACCATCTGAGCCAAACACGTTTATCTTAGTCTCATCAGACCACAGGACATGGTTCCAGTAATTCATGCTCTTGGAGAGGTTGCTTTCAGCTAACTGTTTGCGGGCTTTCTTGTGAGCCAGCTTCAGAAGAGACTTCCTTCAGGGACGACGGCCATGCAAACCGACTTGTTACAGTGTGCGGCGTATGGTCTGAGCACTGACAAGCTGACCTTCCACTTCTGCAACCTCTAAAGCAATGCTGGCACGATCACGTCTGTTTTTTGAAGCCAGCTTCTGCACCTGACGCACAGCACGAGGACTCAACTTCTTTGATTGACCATTACGAGGCCTGTTACGAGTAGAACCCGTCTTGGAAAACCTCTGTATGACCCAGGCCACTGTACTGTAACTCAGTTTCAGGGTGTTACCAATCTTCTTTTAGCCTAGGCCATCTTTGTGGAGAGCAACAATTCTAATTCTCAAATCCTTAGAGAGTTCTTTGCCATGAGCATCCAGTGGTCAGTATGAGAGAATTGCACTCATAGCACACATTTTAACTGCTCTAATACAAGATACAAAAATTTGTATGGTCCTGTTAAGCAGACAAAAACATTTAACGACGTACAGCTATTATCACTTAGGGTGTACTCACTTTTATTGCCAGCTATTTTGACAATAATGGCTGTATGTTGAGTTATTTTCAGAGGACAGTAAATATATACTCTATACAAGCAGCACATTGACTACTCTAAAATATATCCAAGTTTAATTTCTATAGTATTGTCCCTTGAGAAGATATACTAAAATGTTTGCTGAAATGTGACAGGTGTACTCACTTTTGTGAGATCCTATTTTCAATAGAATGATGATTTCCATCTTTTACAGAGAAAATATGGATGATTTTCACAATTTCTTAATTCTTTAAGTCTCTCTAGTAGTGCAACCAAGTGGAAATACAGAAAAAATGATTGCTTCCATATATGTTTCTCTTGTTGTCCCTTTCACTCTGACGCTGTCTTCCATTGCATGGACAAACTTGTACTGTTGAGTAATGCAGATATTTTGGGCTTTTAGTATGTAGTATTCTAGTGTGTAACACTGCGATATGTGACTAACTTCAAGTTTTAAAAAAATCACCAAAATTTACAACCGTTACTAACTTTAAGGCAAGACACCACAGGTAAACGTGACAAATAATTTTACCAAATATGACCACATTCCCCAGTTGATTAATCGCAGATTGTGACAATTGTTTTTTTAATGAAGTTTTCTGAAACATGCAAATGAGGCATGATCTAATTAAATATGCAATAATTTGCACACATTTCCAGAATGGAAATCTGAACATTGGATGAAGCCAGTTTCAATATTCTTGTTTCGTTTGTCGACATAAGGTTTTTACAGGGGGCATTTTGGAAATCTCTTACTCTGTAAATCAGAAAATACTGTCAAAAAATGCTTTTTCACCATATTTCTAGGAATAAAATGTTATATAAAGTAGGTGAATGATATGAACAAAACCCTCTGTAAAAACCTTTAGAACAAAACTGGAATGTTTGGTGACTAAAAGCTGAGGAAAAACTAATTTTGAGAAAACATAAAATAATATCTTAAATGTGTATTGTGGATGCTTTCTTTCCACTTGTCTAAACGAAGACATGTTATGGAGGCAAAATAGCTCAAAATTTTAAAATTGACCAGTGCAAGAAAAAAACGAAAAAAACAATGGCTTTTCCTGTAATTTCTTGCCTATTTTACTAATAATATGTAATGTTAACTAATGGGTTTGTAGCAACTGGGCTCTTATTACAGAACCATCCCAACTAGAATCTAGTCTTATTTGTTTAGTAACCATGGTGATTTCAGCTCTCATTTAGGACAAATATTTAAGATAGGATGTTTCTGTAACATTGCCCCTGCTGGGTTCTCATTGTAGGACGCTAGTCTGTTAGTATGTAGGGGTTTAGTAAAGCTGTAACGTGTTTGGCTTTAGTGTGTAAGGCTGTCATGTAGGGCTCTATGTAATGTTTTGAAGTGTAATGCTGTATCATATAGCGTTGTAATGTAGTATGTAGGCCATAGAGAGAAATTTGGAGCACTGTGTTTCATTCCTTGTTCTCTCACTTTTGTTCCTCGTTTGAGAACAGACCACAAATGAAAGTGGAGGTCTCTCGGCGGATGGTTGTCATAGCAATGTGAGAACATTTATAATGGGATATTTTTCCCACTCTAAAGCAACATCCTTTGGCTGTGCCTGACGCACACACACACACATACGCACATGCACTCCTCTTCCTATTCTCTCACCCACTCTTTAAATGACAGATTTAATGACTAACCTCTCACAAATTATGTCATTTCCTCTCTCAAACACATTTTATGTAGATCCCTGCTTCCCTGTTGCAGCAGTTTGAACTGCTCTGAACTGTGTTAAATAAAGTGTTAAGAGTACTGAAAAAATGTATTATATTAACCTCTTAAGTGTCACGCCCCCTTTTTTGAATAAACATGAAAATGCACAATCCGAACTTAAATGGTTGCAACTCAAGAATGCTTTGGAATATAGATGTAAGATTGGTCTTGTTTTAAAAAAGACATTTGGCAGATTTTTGTAGAAGTTAAATAAATTAAGAAAGTGAAACCAAAAAAAAGTTATAGAAGTTTGAGTTTATGAAAATGTAAAAATTTAATCATTCATGTTTTATATAAAATATATATTTTGAAAACCTGGTGGACTCTAAAACTTCAGGAAAATCAAAGCCAACACTCTGAACAAGTTGTGTTTCAAATTTTAGGTTGATATCTCAAAAAATGAGCTTTCAGTGAGATTTTGTTTGGGCGCAGTACCAAACTTTTTCACTAGGTCACAACCAGACTCCATTACTGCCCGTATAAGGGCTCCATTTCCATATGTGTTTTGAGTGATCTGAACCATTATTTCCACAATTTTCATACAATTTATGAAGTAGGCATCCTATTCAGAAGTAATAAGGAAGTTTGGCATATTTTGATGTGAATTCAACCTCTAATAATCACATAAAAAGAACACGCATGTGCGTTATAGCTCGCTGCCACATCACAAATTGTGAATCTATAATTTTTTTCTTTATATTTTAAAACATTTTCAGACCTTTTTTTCTAAAATTTAATGGATGTTATCTTTTGAACTATTGGCATGAAAACAAACTGAGGTTTCTACCATTCTTTCATGATTTTCATGTTCATCACTATTTCAAAATAAAGGTCTAACATGCCTTAGGAGTATGAAAATATTCTTGTTGCAAATTGATAGATTACGGCTCTTCTGTAATTTATTTTGAAAATCAATCACCAAATATGAAAACTACAGATTGTAAGCTTTCAAATGAATGATATATAGTTTGTCAATATTAGTTTAGGTTTAGGATATTACTGTTTTAAATATGTAATGGCTATGGTGACACTTAAGGGGTTAAACATAGCAAAACTGGATTAAATATAATTTTAATAAATCATTAAGTTTTCTTATGGTTTGAAATCTAATAAAGCGCTATTTCTAAATAAGATAAAAAGTCAAAAATGAAATAATGTAGACATATATGTACTGTGCATAAGTTTAGGGTCAGTAAGATTTATTAGTTTTTTCCCGAATGAAATGAATACTTTTATTCAATAACGATGCAATAAACTGATCCAAAGTAACACTAAGAACATTTATAATGTTACAAAAGATTTCTATTTCAAATAAATGCTTTTTTATATATCGAAGAACCCTGGAAAAAATTTATTATACTTTCTATAAAAATATTAAGCAGCACAACTGTTTTCAACACTGAAATTAATGCTTTTATTCGACAAAGAAGCATTAAATTGGTCAAAAGTGACAGTAAAGACAATATTATTAAGATTACAATAAACAAAATGCTGTTCTTTTGACTTCTTAACCAGCTTTAGTAAAGTTAGTTAAGTAAAGTTCACTTGCTCTTTATCTATATCGTTTCATCTCTCTTACCTTCTGTCTTTATCTTTCCAGGGACAGCTCTCTCAAGCACTGAATGTTCTGTCTGATCGGGCCACAGAGGCCAAAGAGTTCCTGGTTCAGCTCAGAAATATGGTACAACACATACAGGTACAACAAACACACACAATAACACTTATACTCTCATACAGTGCACTTGTGATGCGATCTGATTCTGTCCTCTCCTTGTGCTCTAGGAGAATGGAGTTGAATTCGAGGCATGTTTGGTCGCCCAATGTGATGCTCTGATTGAAGCTCTCAACCGCAGGAAAGCTCAGCTTCTCAGCAGAGTGACCAAAGAACATGAACACAAACTCTCAGTAAGCACAACCACACACAAAACATTCCTTGAGTTCTTGAAGAGATTCGAAAAAATGATCTCTCTCAGTTATTGGGAGCCGTTCTTCATTTGAGGAGCTCATTTATGCAATGCAAATCAACCACAAAAGCAGAACGACAGCTCTCTGTTGTGTTTTTGAGGTAAAGGGAAGGTTGGAAAAAACCCAAATCACACAAGTCACGATTTGATTTCTTAATTGGAGGTTTAGTGACTGCCACCTTGAGGATTTTTAGTGTGTGCTAATAGAACTGATGAATAAATTAGTTTAACACATTTTTTATTGCAAGCAAGGGGATTCATTTTTTATTTATTCAGTAGCTTTGTAAGAATAGAACTACAGAAAAACACATTGATAACGTGTTTAGTTTTTTTTAGATGGTTTTGGACTTTGAAATCAGCATTCACTGTAAAAAATAATTTGTTGTTTCAACTTAAAGCAAGTGTTCGTGCTGCCTTAAAATTTTAAGTGTAGCCAACTTGAAATGTGAAGTTGTACTAAGTGAGTATATTTGAGTTGACTAAACTTAAAATTTTAAGGCAGCACGAACATGTCACGATGCCTGTGTGCTGTGTCTTGTAAGGACTTTTAAGTTGAACTGTTTCTATTGTTTCTGTGTTCTCCTCTCCTGTTTCCCTTGTTTGTGTTACCATAGCAACCCTGATTAGTTCTTAACAGTCCCTCAGGTGTTTCTTGTTTCCCTGTGTGTATATAAAGCCCTGTGTTTTAGTCTGTCTTTGTGAGTTGGTGCCTTTTGCATTCTTGTTTCTGGTCAGGGGGGTATTCCTGAAAGCAAGGTTATCTTACTGTCACACATAAGTTCATCCAAATCAGAGTATGTTCATGGTTAACACACCAGACGTTCTCAACAGAGCAATGAATCGACGAGTCACCATGGAAACGGACGATAAGAAAAAGCGGGCCTTACTACTTCTTTCTTCTTCTTTTGTTAAATGCTGATTTACATACTTTTACATACATTTCACCATTTTTCAATCTTTTCGTTTAATAATCTTTAATCACTGTGAATAAGAATTATATTGTTTGTTTGATACTAATTATATAATAAAAAGAAAGAAAGATTAAACTAAATAGAGTCTGTGCTTGCAAAGATAACATGGCTATAAGTTTTTGTTCATTTTGCTTCCACATTGCTTGAAAGGTAAGATATATCATGTATGTCTTTTATAGAAATACATTATAGAATAGAAAACGTTGCAAAAATAAAATAAAGAGTATGTTGCTATGGCTACTTGCATACCCTGAAAGTTTACCTGTGTTTTTGGAACCAAAAGTTTAGGTTATCCGCTTACTTTACCCTTAAACATACCCGGGTATGTCACATAACCTGCTTTCTGGAATAACCCCAAGGATTATGTTCCCACTCCTTGGTTGGATTATCTTAGTTTATGCTTTTTTTAATAAACTTTTGCTGCATGTAGATCCTCGCATCACCTCGTCTTTGCCACCGTTGTTGTGGAACACTTACTTTTTTAAGTTGAAACAAAAAAAATCTTTACAGTGTGAGACAGAAGTTGCAATGTTCTTTTCTAGCAAGAAAAAATGTAGGGCTGAACTTGATTTTGTCCATTGGGAATTGATAGAATCGTTAGATCGTTGTGGTTTGCTATTGCTGTGATATGTGCAGGTTTGTCTTGAAACACCTCATCAGAGAAGAGAAGAGATGTTGCTAAAAGAGGGAGGGGCAGTTATTTTGATTAAAGGCACAGTATGTAAGATTTTTTAATTAAAATATCAGAAAACTAATCATTGTTATAGCTTAACATGGTTAGTCTTATTGTTTAAATCTCTTGATTTCTTGATTTACAGCGAGTAACATGTTTGTACCATGCATCAGAGACAATGCTTTTTTGTGAAGTGGCTAACATGGCATAATCAGAAAGAGCTTTATTTGTAGTAACAGTACTGAATTTAAGTGATCAAACGTAACTGTAACAAAGTTCAAATTCAGGGAAGAAGGAGGCGAACATTAAACGTAACTTTAATCGTAAAATATGCATAATCAACTAAATAAAAGAAGTGGCAGCAGCCGACTGCGGCATCGGAGCATAATAAAAATAAAAATAATAATAAATAATATTAATAGCATAATAAAAACAGCTGCATAAAATGTCCCAGGCTCTCTGCCCCGCCCTGCTTCATACCACAGTAACGTTAATAAAACTTTAATCCATTAGCTCACCCATTAACATGATTTCTGCATGAGTCCTGTCATATTGCCTGCCATTGGCTGTGGAGGTGAAGACGACCACTCCCATGATTCCACTCTCATTCAAGGCGTCATCAAGCTACGCCTTTGTGATTGTTTTGAATAAGCGACCTCTTACATATTGTGCCTTTAAAGATTATGGGGCTGTTTACACCTGGCCACTTCATGCGTTTTCTCAGATCGGATAGCTATCTGATTTATCAAAACGATTCCATTTACACCTGGTCACATAAATGTGTTTTTGCAAAACGGATATAAATCCGATCTTCAATTCCCGCGCTATATGCAGATTTAATAGAGTCAAAAACTCAAAAGTTGGCAGGTATGCGTGTTGCAGTAGCGACGTCATATCTGACTATAACATGACATATAGCCTATATAACATGCTCTCACACGTTTATTTTTTAGCATTTTTGTGAGGAGGGAAATTTACATATGGTTTCAACAACCAGATGCATTTACACTTGTCCAGTTTCATCTGGAATGCGGCCTAGACCACCTCCTAAAGTGGTCTGAGCGATCGGATTTAAATCCGTCTCGAATGCGTTTCAGAGGGCATTACACCTGGTCTTTTCACGATCGGATAGCTATCCGATCACAGAAAACGCATGAAGTGGCCAGGTGTAAACAGCCCCTATGAGAGCACATGCATTTAAAAAAAAAGAATGATGTGCATGGATACATTTTAAATTCATGGAAATCTCTACACATTTCTGTATTAGGGCAACAGATGACTGGCACTGAGGGTATTTTCTATTTTCCCATTAAAAATTCATTAAATCTCTTTTCTGCCAAAGTTGGATTCAGAATGGATTCATGCTTCAGGCAGCAGGGCTAATCAGCAGCCATTGTTGGTGAGTCAAATCAGCCTGTTTCTAGCCCAAGCTTCTGTGCCATATGAAAACGTTTGCTATCATAGGGGGAAAGCAGCTTAATGGTTAAAAATCTGGGCTATTAACGGAAAGAATTTATGTTTAAAATGGAGTCATTGTGTCCTTGACTTAGACTCTGAATCCCAAGCTGCTCCACTGAGACTGCACCTATAGTTAGTTTCCTGTGATTCTCTTTGGTTGAAATGCAGCTATGGAATTACAAGTAATTAAATAGCAAACCAGTATAATTTTTTACTGTCTTAAGAACTCTAGGAACGTCATACAGCATATAATGCACTAACATGACCCTGATTTTGTTGGCTCTGTCAGTGGGTAGATGATAAATATTACTATTTTTAAAGCACCATTTCTTTAAAGTTTTACATAATCGTCAATTACTCTTTTTGCTGTTTAATTAAATAATATGTTAATAATCCAAATTTCTTCAAGCTGGAGTGATGACACTAACTCAATTAATATTTAATAGTCTGCGAGTTATAAGAGGAAACGTAAAAATGTAATATTAAAATTGTCCTGGTCTCCCCCTATACTGTTAGTAGCCTTTCACACAGTAATCCCAGTAAGTTACCGTAAAATTACCAGAATGATTTTACTGTAGCAAGGTGGGGTTTTTTTTTCAAAGCAAACTTCGGACCTCGTATTCATTCTTTGAGCAAATTCCAATCGGAAGTGAGCATCCTTATGCCCTACTCACTCCGGAGGGCAGAGCCCTTGAAGTGGGGACTTTGGAGGGAGCAGGGCACGTGTGTGTCAAAATGAAGCTGTTTGGAATTCTCCATTTGTTCACACACAGCAGCATCATACCGGTAATTTACTGGTAATGTTACAACTTCTCATGCTGGTAAATTGCCAACTGATCTACCTGTATTTTTGAAAAGGTGCTATTCACACATGATCTCTTAAAGGGATAGTTCACCCAAAAATTAAATTAATTCGGTAATTTATTACTCTCCCTCGTGTCGTTCCAAACCTGTAAGACTTTCTTTCATCTTCGGAACACAAATGAAGATCTTTTTGATGAAACCTTAGAGCTTTCTGTCCCTCCATTGACAGCTACACAACTACCACTTTGACGCTTCAAAAAGTTCATAAAGAGATCGTAAAACTAATCTACATGAACTGAGCGGTTTAGTCCAAAGACACAATCGCTTTATATGATGAACAGATTGAATTTAGGTTTTTATTCATATATAAACATTCCTTAACTCACACATCAGTTGTAGTAAACTGAAGCTCAACCATGTTCACTTGATGTGCGAGAACCAATGAGGTTCATTCTCGTGTTACGCAGCTCGTTTGAGCTTCCTCACGAACCAATGAGGTTCATTCTTGTGTTACGCAGCTCGTTTGAGCTTCTGCAAGAACCAATGAGGTTCATTCTCGTGTTACGCAGCTCGTTTGAGCTTCCTCACGAACCAATGAGGTTCATTCTTGTGTTACGCAGCTCGTTTGAGCTTCTGCAAGAACCAATGAGGTTTGTTCTCACGCGTCATGCAGGTTCGGTTGAGCCTCTGTTTATTTTTGCTAATAGATGTTTAAATGTGAATAAAAGTTAAATCTAAATTAAATCTGTTCATCATATAAAGCAATCGTGAGTCTCATGGGTTTGGAACGTCATGAGGGTGAGTAATTAATGACAATTTTCATTTTTGGGTGAATGATCCCTGTAACGGTAATTGGTAAAGACTGTCTGTGTAAAGGGAAATGTAAAAATGTAATATTAAAATTGTTAAAACTCCCCTATACTATTAGTCGTATGTGCTTTTGCTGGCATCTTATGTAGGCCTATTCTCTCCTCTTGTCTCCATGGTGCCACAGGCCTGTTCCCATGGTTACAAAGATGTTGGGGTTCTAGTTTTGTCCAGTGGCTTTCTTCAGTTCTGTCTATTTCTGTCTGGTTTGCCTCATTCTGTTTGGATTTGAATGGCTCTTTTGCCTCTCATAAATTAAGTGTTTAATGTTTGATTTATTTTGGTATAGTAAGATTAGCTTTGGAAGGACGTGTGTTTGCATCAGTGTGTACGTGTGCATTATGTAAAAGGAATGTTGCCAGTAGGTTTAAGTAGAAGGAGGAAGGACACACTCAGACACACATTCACCCAGTGGAATATGCAAGCATGAAGTGTATTTTTTTGTGTAAAAGGTCAGTGATGTGTTGCTTGCTCAGAGAGGATGCTGACAATTGGTCCTGCTGTTGCCTAGCAACCCAGCCACAGAACAGTTATCATGGATTCATTCTCTTTCTCTTTCTCTCTGTCTCTTTATCGCAGGTGGTTCGTGATCAGATATCTCACTGCACGGTGAAGTTGAGGCAGACCACAGGACTGATGGAATACTGTCTGGAGGTTATCAAAGAGAACGACCCCAGCGGCTTCCTGCAGGTCTCTGACCCTTTTAATATAGCACGGACCTCATCTGCTGACATTGGCCGCAAAGTTAGGGCGCTTACGCACCAGAGAAAGATCTGACTAAACTTTTAATGGATGGGAATGTCTAAGATCCATTTTGGGCCTGTTTACACCTGGTCACATGCGTTTTCTCTGATTGTAGAAAGATCCAAATCAGTTTGACATAAAGCAAATTGGATTTCCAAAACTGTGCCGCCTCTCTGAAATCCTCATTGGTCAATGAGATAATGAAATTTAGATTTAGAAAATTAAATTTCACATTTATTTCTATTTAATTTTAACTTTAACTTTTTCTTGTTAGAGTTAAAAAGTCAGAATTGTGAGATATAAACTTGCAATTGCAAGAAAAAAGTCGCAATCACCTTTTTTATTTTTATACTCTGTGGCTCAAACAAGCTTCCATAGATATCAGATATTTGTGTATGCTCATTTCCTCGTTTTTTTATTTAGATTACCTTTGCTATCATATAACACTCATTGAAGTTAATCTTTAAAAACACTAATAACTTGTTAATACTGTTATCTTTAGGAATTCTTAAAATGAATATACATTTTTCATGCTGTACATAATCTCAATTCACATGCAGCATTTTAAAAGCATTTTGATTTGAGCTTTTAGTGTTTAATTTTTTAGTTTGAACAAAATTGTATTTTAACAAATTAAAAAAAAAATACAATAATTTTAATGTCAACTATTATTTCATACTGTGTAATTTAGTGACGCCTAAATTATTAATTCATTTTACCTTTTAGTTGATTTATACAAAATAGTGTTTTTATAAATAGTTTTAAATAGTTAATTTTAATATCAGCCTTTCATCAGTTATTGAACATAATTATCTTATTGGTGTTTGCCAGAACTTTAATATCAGTGTGTCAATACTAGATATAGCTCTTTGTGAGTGTTTATGCAAAACTTGCTTGTAAGCCAGTGTAGCATCAGCAGTCTGTCTGTTGAGGATCTTATTGGAGACTTTATACACTAATAAGTATAATCTTTTAAATCTATCAAATTAAAAAGACTGGTACATAATATCCAAATGGAAATCTGCCCAGAAATCATTATTTAAAAAAATAGGCTACTTCAGTACTCAAAAATGAGTGTAAAGGGCAAGGAAACTTTGGTTTAGTCAAAAACAAGCATTCTTGCTCAATGACACTTTGCCTTCCAAAACTTTTCTGATCACAAAATGTTTCCTGCTCTGAGGACTCTTATTAAATTAACAGAAGGTCATACATTTACATAATTGCAACACTTCATTAATTTGACTTAATGCCGTGTAATATATTCTGAATCGCAGTGTGTGTCTGTGTGTGTGTAGATCTCTGATGCTCTGATAAGACGGGTCCATATGACGGAGAACCAGTGGGGGAAGGGCTCTCTGACCCCTCGCATGAGCAGTGACTTTGACCTGACGCTGGACAGCGGACCCCTGCTGCAGACCATACACCAGTTAGACTTCGTCCAGATGAAGGGTGAGCCTGTGTGTGAGTGATTGGGTGTGTTTCATTTTTGCATGGCTTTCCTAAATGACACAGTAAGACCCAAAATAACCCTGTCTGTCTTTGTTTGTGGCTTTGTGTGTGTGTAGTTCCAGCTGCTCCTATTCTCCAGTTAGAGGAGTGCTGTACTCAAACCAACAGTGCGACTCTGTCATGGAAGCAGCCGCCTCTCTCCACCATCGCTGTGGAAGGCTACATTTTAGAACTGGATGATGGGACTGGAGGCCAGTTCAGAGTGAGTGTCACATGCACGCAGTGAACCTTTCTGTGCAAGTTGCATTCTTAGAATTATATTCATTTCAACAAAATAGTGTTCTGTGCAGTGTTCACTCTATGTTGCCTCTATTTTTTAAAGGAGCACCAGTGCTGTCCTTACTTTGTTCCCTAGAAAAGATAAGACATGACTAAGGATTAACAGCTTAGTAGATCATTGGTTGAATGTAATGTGTGTTATTCAAGTGTTACTCTAAATACTCTACTTGACAGCAAGTGATCAGCATGCATTTTCCTTAAGGGAAAAATCCTTCTGGATCATGAAAAATTCATATGAGGGTGGATAGATGAAACAAGTTTCAGCTTAAAGTCACCATGAAATCAAAAATTCTTGTTTTTTTATGGAATATTTATATTTATTGTAAATGATTTATCCGTGCACATCATTATTTTTTTTATGTACCCTCATAATATGTAATAAAATAAAAAATCCCCTCACACTTGCAGCGAAATCTGCTCTCTACTCTGATGATGTGTTTTGGGGCAGCTTGTCAATCACATGAGATCATAGCAATAGCAAACCACAACCATCCAATCAATTCCGGACGGACAAAATCAAGTCCCGCCCTACAATTTTTTTCTTGTTTGAAAGGCCGTTTCACTTGGATATATAGGTCACAATTGGCATGAAAAGACTGGAACTCAGTTGGACTGATCAAATTTACACAAATGTAAATGCGTGATTTCTGCCAAATCATTTAAAATGCTTGCATTTCTTAAATCGGAGCTAAATTGAATGACCAGCATTTCAACTCCACACATTAGTTTTCAGTGTAGGACTGAAGCTGTGTGAAATCTTGTTTGGAAATACACAGCACTGATTACATTTTTGAAAAAAGCACCACATCATAAAACAGCACAGAGATTTCAAGTTCATAGCAGCACCGAGCAAAAATGCAAGAAGGATGACTATTCCAAACAAATGGAATCCCACAGAGGCCATATGTTTTTGCATTTATTTATTTATTGGTGTAGTATTATTTTACTTTCTCGAAGTGGACACAGTGAACACTGCATAATTGTTAGATGTGATGTTTCGGCTTGGCTAGCTGAATGATCTGTCCAATAGATAGAGGTTTTACTCAGCAAGAACAAACTTGTGTGTGCATACACATGAACAGTGTGTACTGTATGTATTAATAAAGTGATATTGTTGAACATGGTTTTGTCATTTGGCTGTGGGCAGTCAGAATCAGTGATGTTCATTTGAGTGACAAGGGACACGCATATATTTCCTTTAGATCATCAAGTCAAGTCCACAAAAATGGTGTCTCATCTCATATTTGCCACAAAATGCCTGAGTCTAAAGATGATTCATGCCTCTCACTGCAGAAGTCTATTTATATATTAGAGGACCACTTCACCCACGAACACACACTTACATGATCACAAACGCACATATGCATGCACCACTGTCACTCGTTTGCTGTTTACTCTTGGTATTGATATTCATCTGAGGTGATCACAAGTGGCCACTCGTGATTGATTTCATCTGATTTTGTGGTTTCATGCAGTACCGTTCAAATGTTTGGGGTCGGTAGGATTTTTAAATGTTTTTGAAAGAAATCTGTTATGCTCACCAAGACTGCTAAAAATACAGTAAAACCAGTAATATTGTGAATTATTTTTTACAATTTAAAATAACTCTTTTCTATTTTAATATGTTTTAAAAATAATTTATTTCTGTGATGACAAAGCTGAATTTTCAGCATCATTACTCCTGTCTTCAGTGTCACATTATCCCACATGATACTGATTTGCTGCTTAAGAAACATGTCTTATTATTATCAAAGAAGATTATTATATTATTATTGAAAACAGTTGTGCTGCTTAATTTTTTTCTGGAAACTGAAATTTCAAAAGAACAGCATTTATTTAAAATATAAATCTTTTTTAATGATGTAAATGTCTGTATTCTCACTTTTGATCAATTTAATGCATCCTTGCTGAATAAAAGTATTCATTTCTTTTTTTTTTTTTATGTGTACTTACCCCAAACTTTGAACGGTCGTGTACATCATCAAAATAAATCTCCTGAGATTAGCCACACACATTCACACTTACACTTACACTCACACATAAGAATTCAAATACCCTCAGACATATAGACACACACACACACACACACACACACACACTCAATCTCTACTATCCTCTAAACAGGCCAAGCTCTTATTTTAGAAAGCCAGGTTCATGTGTTCTTATATTTGCTCCATTTTTGGGTAGATTTTTAGCAAGAGTATCACATTGTGTTTTTCCCAAGATATTCATCAGCCTTAATTAGCAAATTAACTTAACGGTATATTCTACAGGAAGTGATTCCATGCATACAGAAAATGTGCATATGCAAAATATGTCAATTTTCTGTATGCATGGATCACCTGGGCTGAACTGAATTTGAAGTTACATACTACCCTTCTAGTCCTGAAGTAGTATGATAGTATAGAATTCCGACATTTCCTATTATATACCGACCTAATTCCTTTGATATAATGTAGTTTACAACAAAGCACTTTCTGTTGGGTAGTATATCCCACAATGCAATGCACTTAATCTGCCCTTTCATTTAAAATGTTACCAATAAACCAAATGTACTACCAAAGGGGTTTTTAACATCTTTTTCTTGATTCAGAATTTAATTAGACTGCCCAATTTAAACACAGAATCGTGTGAAACATGTATACTGTTTAAAAAATAGTAGGCCGCATGGAGTATAATGTTCAGTATACAGTAAGCAGTACCCTAGTTGCTATTTCAAACATAGTTAACCCTGTGTGTTTACTAACTGAAGTGTGTATTCTACAGGAAGTGTATGTTGGTATAGAGATGATCTGCACTGTGGACGGTCTGCACTTCAACAGCACTTATAAATCCCGCGTTAAAGCATTTAACTCCAGTGGAGTCGGCCAGTACAGCAAAACGCTTGTCATGCAGACATCAGAGAGTAAGAGATGTTATCTCACTGCTACACTCACACACCTTACTATTGAATGCTGTCACTCTTAATGCACAGGGAAGCTTGAGCATGTCAGTGCAAAATAAAACATCAGATTTTTACTAATGTCAATATAGTGGGCAGTTTCCACAAATAGGATATATTATAATATATACACTCACCTAAAGGATTATTAGGAACACCATTCTAATACTGTGTTTGACCCCCTTTCGCCTTCAGAACTGCCTTAGTTCTACGTGGCATTGATTCAACAAGGTGCTGAAAGCATTCTTTAGAAATGTTGGCCCATACTGATAGGATAGCATCTTGCAGTTGATGGAGATTTGTGGGATGCACATCCAGGGCACGAAGCTCCCGTTCCACCACATCCCAAAGATGCTCTATTGGGTTGAGATCTGGTGACTGTGGGGGCCATTTTAGTACAGTGAACTCATTGTCATGTTCAAGAAACCAATTTGAAATGATTCAAGCTTTGTGACATGGTGCATTATCCTGCTGGAAGTAGCCATCAGAGGATGGGTACATGGTGGCCATAAAGGGATGGACATGGTCAGAAACAATGCTCAGGTAGGCCGTGGCATTTAAACGATGCCCAATTGGCACTAAGTGTTCCAAGAAAACATCCCCCACACCATTACACCACCACCACCAGCCTGCACAGTGGTAACAAGGCATGATGGATCCATGTTCTCATTCTGTTTACGCCAAATTCTGACATTACCATCTGAATGTCTCAACAGAAATCGAGACTCATCAGACCAGGCACATTTTTCCAGTCTTCAACTGTCCAATTTTGGTGAGCTCTTGCAAATTGTAGCCTCTTTTTCCTATTTGTAGAGGAGATGAGTGGTACCCGGTGGGGTCTTCTGCTGTTGTAGCCCATCCGCCTCAAGGTTGTGCGTGTTGTGGCTTCACAAATGCTTTGCTGCATACCTCGGTTGTAACGAGTGGTTATTTCAGTCAAAGTTGCTCTTCTATCAGCTTGAATCAGTCGGCCCATTCTCCTCTGACCTCTAGCATCAACAAGGCATTTTCGCCCACAGGACTGCCGCATACTGGATGTTTTTCCCTTTTCACACCATTCTTTGTAAACCCTAGAAATGGTTGTGCGTGAAAATCCCAGTAACTGAGCAGATTGTGAAATACTCAGACCGGCCCGTCTGGCACCAACAACCATGCCACGCTCAAAATTGCTTAAATCACCTTTGTTTCCCATTCTGACATTCAGTTTGGAGTTCAGGAGATTGTCTTGACCAGGACCACACCCCTAAATGCGTTGAAGCAACTGCCATGTGATTGGTTGATTAGACAATTGCATTAATGAGAAATTGAACAGGTGTTCCTAATAATCCTTTAGGTGAGTGTATATATTACTAGTTGGTGTCTTGTGCATTTTTAAGGACCTGTAGGCCTACATTTTTGTTGTAAAACCATCAGATACATTTGATAAACTGGTTTCTAACACAAAATTAACCTGGCATGCAAAGTAGCTTTAAATGCCTGTATCCCCTTAAAATGTGGATTTTGGCCCGTCACACTTTTGACCTTCTTGACAACATAAATCAGTATTATTAAAAATAAAAAAACATTGTTAAAAATTAACTTTTTTTCATTTATTCTTTATAAATGTTGTTTTTATATGTAGCTTTATTTAAAAATATTTATATGAATAGATTTTACTATATTAATATATTTTAATATTTTTAATATTTATTTTATATGTTTATCTTAATGTTTATTGCTACAATTAATATGTATATTGTGCCTCGCACACCCAAATCAAGCGTTGGATTAAGATACAATATAGACTACAAAATATAAATCCTGCACACTACTCAAGTTTATATATTTGTAGGCCTACGGGTGGTTGATTGACCAAAGCATTGCTCATTAAAATATTTTTGTGATGATGCAAACTTTAGTGTGCACGATTTATATTTTTCTAGTTTCTAATGTTTCTTGCTAGAAAATAATGAAACGACACAAGTCATGGTTTAAAACTGCATGCCCCAAATTTTGGTTGCAATGTTGCAAAATCTTCATTTAAAATAAAGCTCATATAATCATATAATGCTCATATAATATTTAGTTTGACCTTGTTAGGTTTTACCCTATTCATGGAAAGTGCCAATGACATCACCCTGATAGTCTACTGTCATGAGGTCTTTATGAGCACCACTGTATGTCTGATAATATAAATTAACATGTGCTGTTAGCATTATTGACTTGTTCTTTACATGTGAGCGCTGAATAAGTCCAGCTTCCCTGATCTGCTGCTTTCCTTCCTCTCTTTCAGTACCCAATTCTGTTACTTTCTTTTTTTTCTCTCCTTCCACCATTCTGCTTTTTCTTTTCTCTGCCTCTTCCACTTTTCTTTTTCTCTCCAACCTTTTCTCGCTCTTTTCCCATCTCTTCCTTTCTCTTGATTTCAGTGAGTCTGGCTTCATATGGTTGTAAAACTCTGGCAGCAGGTATGAATGCCTGAATATATGAACATCATGATTATGTTAACCTCATACACCCTTTCGTGTGTGTGTGTGTGTGTGTGTGTGCGTGCGCGTGTGTGTGAATGAGAGAGTGTGTTTGCGAGATTTATTTGCAGTGTCTCTGTGTTCTTAAATTCATCTGGACTTTCATTCTTACTGGAGATCGGAGCTCAACCAGCCTTCATGACTGTATGTGTGTGTGCTTTTTCTGCAGTTGCCTGGTTCACCTTTGACCCTGTATCGGCCCACCCTGACATCATATTGTCCAATGACAACCTCACGGTGACGTGTAACAGTTACGACGATCGTGTTGTCATGGGCAATACAGGGTTCTCTCGTGGTGTGCACTACTGGGAGATGACCATCGATCGCTATGACAACCACCCCGACCCTGCATTTGGGATCGCCCGGGCTGATGTCATGAAGGACGTTATGCTGGGGAAGGATGATAAAGCCTGGGCCATGTATGTGGACAACAACCGCTCCTGGTTCATGCATAACAACTCGCACACCAACCGGTATGAATTAATGCTTGTCTATGTGTGCATGTTTGTGATTTGGAACTTTTATTTTATTTTATTTATTTTATTTTATTTCAGAATTTCTTCATTGGTATTCACTGAAAAAAGTAAAATGATAGTGTCATTTAATTAATTAATTATTTTATTTTATTTTATTTTTTTGTATTTTTTAATTTCTTCATTGATATACACTGAAAAAAGTAAAAATATAGTGTAATTTATTTAAAGTGCATTTTTATATTGATCTAATTGAAAATCATGGTGTAAACCTGTTTCCCTTTCAATTGGGAATTCGCACTGCGTCTGAACAAGGCGCTATGGGGAATGCCTCCAGCGTGACCGGTGTCTGAAGCATGTGTTAAAACGCGACAATATCATTGGCCGAAGACAGTCCGTGACATCACTACCAGTGCGACCGTGAGTATAAAAGGGCGCCTGTAGTACACGTCATTATAATCTTTGTCTTCAGGAGCCGTTTGTTTGCAACGTGTTAAGCCGAATTGTTTCTACTGACAAACGTTTTAGGAAGTGTGTGCCTCCTTGTCAGAGGTATCTGACACCCGAGGACACACATGACTTGTGCGTTATGTGCTTGGTCGAGGAGTACGCACGTTCAGTCCTTGATGGGGCTGAAAGGGCACACTGTGAGAGCTCCTCAATGAAGAAGCTCCATTCACGTGTGTCCTTTGTCTCGAAGGACAAGCGTCTACGCCTCCGCGGCTCAGGACCCGCAAACATCGAGGCAAAGCGGGGAATGAGATGTTGGGGGTCGCAAGTCAGTCTGGCTGACATATGCTTCTGGAGGCCCCGTGCCACAGAGAGACTAGATCTCCCTTGGAGGCGAGAGATCGGAGATCACTTGTGGCAGGTTGGACAAGCGATTTCTGTCTGGACATAACCGTCCCGTTCCTTTGAGCCTTCAATTTCTTCTGGATCTCCATGCTGAGGTTGAGAGATCATGGAAGAAACCATATTCGGCCCGCATTCATCTCTGTCATCATGCTAGTTATGCTAATGTAGGGAGAATGCGCGAGCACGAATATGTGATGATGCCTTCCATTGAAGAGACGCTAGCCAGCTATCTCTCAGTGGGTTAGGGATCATCATTAAAGGCTCCAAACCCTGCCATCCATGCCGCTGCATACCACATCTCGTTTGAATGGCAGGGCATATGCGGCAACGGGCTAGGGGGTGCACTGCACACAATGCCTTTGCCATAGGCGTACCAGGCTGATCTGCTGAAGGATCTACAGATGTAGGATTTGAATGTAAGCTGTGAAGCATGTCTGACTAATGCTAGTGCACAAGTTGAGGATGCTCGCCGGTTAAAATCGGCCTCCCTCCTAGTCTCTGTCAGCTACATTGCTATAGTAGTACCTGTAAACAGCAGACCTGATGATTGCTCAAGGTTGAAGCTTCCTCCCCCAGATATTGGGGTCTACTAAGTAGGAAGCTCCCTTACAGCGCAGATCTCGAGAACCCTTACGAAGAATGGCTTTAGCGCCATCTTTGCAAACCCACCAGAACCCTCTCCTTGTTCGGGTGTTAAGAATGGGTCCTCTGTTCACCAAGAAGAGCTCTTCCATTCTCTAGAACCCGACGGGATGTGGCATTCGGCCCAGATTTGCGAACCCTTCCTGTTGTAAAGATCCTAGTGCAAATCTTAGTCTGAAGACAGCAATTTGAGGGGTTTGCCTTGAATAGTTAAGTCTTCATTGTGAGCGTTGATTAGGACCCCCACTTGAGGGTCTTTAAGTAGAGTCCTCTGCTCCCTGAGAAGAGCTCCGTGTGATTCTTGCCAACCTTCTTTATATCTACTAGACAAGCCTCAGACTGATCTCTTGGTAATTGACGAAAAGCGTTTTTTGCACAGCAGACGTGCAAACCCTTTTTGTTGTAATGCGACTTTGGAAAATGTCTTGAGTCTTGAGATCTTGGTATGAGAACAGCTGGTTGTAGTTAACACTAAAACGGCTAACTCCCTTTTTCCTGCAAACTGTTAAGGGTCTTCGAGTTGGGTCCTCTTCTCCCTGAGATGATCACTGTCCGATTCCTGGAATCATACCTGTATAAGACAGCGAGGTTGAGTGGTAGTAGCTAGCGCTTTTGCAGATCCCCTTGATAAGTGAGTCTTTAGGGTTGACTGGGGTATCCTAGAGGTAGAGCAGGGATTCTCTTGCTCCCCCTAGAGGTAGTGACAGGCTAGGGAATTAGGTATTCCCAGGCCAGGTTCCCTTAAAGGTGATGTCTAGCATTCAGAGCTGACATACAAGACCCTTGAGTCCTGCCCTCGGACCGGGCTCTATCGCTTGGCCCTGCGAGGAAGGTAGGAAGTTTTAAAAGGCCAGGGCTTTCCTTGTATAGGGCGTAAGACTAGGGTAGTGGCCGTAGGCAATTTCGTTACTGACAGTTCCACCGCTGGTGCACTTGAGTTGGGCATATAAGTCTGATACGTCTTTTTTATGTACTTATACATTTCCTCTTAGCATGGCGTGATGGGTATTTGTTCCCAATAGAATCTTGTTCAGACACAGTACGAGTTCCCATTCGAAAGGGAACGTCTCGGGTTACAAATGTAACCCTGGTTTACTGAGGATGGGAACAATACACTGCATCTCGTTGCCATGCTTCGGGCTTGCCTGTTTAAGTCTGCTTCAGACAAAGAAGAGAATGACGTGCACTACAGGCGCCCTTTTATACTCACGGTCGCACTGGTAGTGATGTCACAGACTGTCGTCGGCCAATGATATTGTTGCGTTTTAGCACGTGCTTCAGACAGCGGTGTCACGCTGGAGGCATTCCCCATAGTGTCTTGTTCAGACGCAGTGCCTCGTTCCCCTTCTCAGGGAACCAGGGTTACATTTGTAACCAAGACATTTGTTACGTTTGTCTTTATTTATACTAAATAAATTAAATTAAACATTGACTAACAAATTGTTTATAGTTTTATAGTTCTTTTGTGGAAAATAAATATTTTTGATTATTGTTAAATATAATTTAAGGTTTGAATCAAACCATAAATATACACTGAACAAAATTATAAATGCAACACTTTTGTTTTTGCCCCCATTTTTCATGAGCTGAACTCAAAGATCTAAGACTTTTTCTACGTGTACACAAAAGGCCTATTTCTCTCAAATATTGTTCATAAATCTGCCTAAGGCCCTGTCCCGATATCGGCACTTGCGCCCTTGTGCCCCTCAATGCGCGTTCTCTCTAAGGGGTGCAAGACCGTAGGGTGTCCCGATCCTCTAATAGTGTTCTCCAGGGGTGATGATCATAAGGGCACTTAATGCACCCCTTTCGCAAGTGCACATCAGACCTCACTTTGCTATGGGATATTACCCAGAATCCTTGTAGTGTTGTGACCATAGACAGTAAAAGAAATGGACACAGCGACCCCATAGACTTCAACGGAGAAAAGTGAAGTCAATTAGAAGCACTCACTTCCTGATTGCCAAGCGCACTGCGCAGGCTCAAACTGAGCTGGACGACGTAGATGTGACGTGAGCAACTTGTACGTCTTCTAGTAGCTGTGCCAAGAGGAATCTGAATCATTCCCTTCCGAATCTTGCAGAGCCGGAGATCGTGAGTATTAGCTGTCCATGAGCTAGCAGCAGGAGCAACGTTATGACTCTCTATGGGCTTCTCCCTTGACTTCATGCCTCCACGTCCCCCCGATTGCGCGCGAGCTTCTACTTCTGTCTATACGGTAATTTCTCTTCTGTGCGACAGAGAGTCGCGTGTTATGACGCAATCGTTAGCCTATTTTTACAAAAACGGCTTCTACGGGGCCATAACGTAAGATACAAAGTAATGGAGCCTTTTATACATTGTCGTGTTTCTTTAGAAATAAATAATGGACAAATGGAGTCTTTAAACGCCTCAGATGTAAAGTTATTTGCTGTCAAAGTGACGCAAAAATGAATGGGAGTCAATGGGATGCTAACAGCAGGTGAAGGCTTGCTAGCCAATGGCGGCCCCCGGGGAGACTTCAGTTTCCGGCTGGTGGATTACCCCCTTGGTTGTGACGTTTCGAACAGCTAACCAATGGGGGAGAACAGTTGCTATGGTGCTGTTCGGGAGAGGAAACTCCGAAGATAAAGGAAGCCGGTGTGGTGAAGTGTTTTTCAAGGCCGCGAAATTTAAAAATATTAGTGTTATTGTGTCACGAAATGTAGTTTTAAGAGTTTTTCAGTTGAGAATATAGTTGTTTAAAGCTCAAATCTGTGGTTTATTTTTAAAGATAGCGGCTATTTAAAAATTTGATCTGACGTTTTCGGAGTTCCAGGTGATCACCGGGCTCAGCGCTCATGTACCCCCGCCTGGAACAGCCTTACCTCGGCTAGTCATTCTGACTTTTCCCGCGGGCTCTGTGTCTAGTGGTTTAACATGAGCTATAAATCGGCTTGTGTATATCTAACGGGCAATCTTTGGTCTCATTAATCTATGATTTGTTCCCTGGGAAATCGTTTTGGCTGAGAGCAAAGTGACGTTTCATAACTTTATATATTTATTTTAGGCTATTTGTAACGTTGTAACGTTAGCCTGTTGACTTATGTTTGACTGAATCTTTTAACTTGCTTTATTTCTTGACTTATATAGCTTCTTATACTTTTTAGGCTACTTATACTTTAATAATGGCTATTATTGATCAATAAAACTGAAATTTAACAAAAAGAGACAGGGTTGTGTCATTTTATTTCATATAGCCTATGTAAGACTATTTTAATATATAGCCTATAATATATCACCAACACGTCATGTATTTTTTCATGTATGGGATGGGAAGAATTTTATATATCAATTTCCATAATAACATAATTAAAATTGCATTTCGAATCGCTGTGAATACGGTAAGGCAGTATAAGCTCAGGTAAACCTCAATCACAATTTATCTTAGTCAAACACTGTTTTAATATTAATAACATTAACAGAAAGGTTGGTAGCTAAGAGTAAAAAAATATATAATTTTTTTAATTCAAAGGATTGTGTCATGTTACAGCTATTATAAGCAGCACATACATTAGCCAAATGAACGGTGTTTGCTCCCCTGATCACAACAGAAGTGACGTAGATTGTGACGTGTGCAAAACTGTCCCAATTCTGCTCTTCACAGCTTTGGGCCCTTGCGCACTTACTCCGCTAAGTGCAGTTTCAACAAGTGTCCACTCCGAGGAAGACCTTAGGGCGTAGTGTGGGTATTGGGACAGGGCCTAAATCTGTGTTAGAGATAGGGCTGTCAACTTTAGTCGTTTAGTCGACTAATCGGTCGATGCCGTCTTGGTCGACTGACATTCTTATTGGTCGACCAGTTGCATTTTTTTTTTTTTACCAATAGAAAGAAATTTTCAATGATTTACTCCTTGATATTTATTCCTTTATAAGCAGTTAAATATTACTGTATTCTAAATATAATTAGCCTATGGTTTATCCCCAACTTTAAATGCTTTAATTTAGGCTATTTTGTAACAGCGCCACAGTTTAGCGCACACACATAACACTCGGTTCGCACCTGTGGCTGCGCTGCTGCTTCGTGCTCAGTGAGGGATATAGGTAGTTTAGCTGTATTCATTCAGTTAGAACGCTACTTGTTTCGGTTTTTATACACTATATGTTTGTATCTCGATGCGGCGTGGACGCACTTGGAAAAAAAAGAGCGCGTCGCACCGCGACCGTTGCTTCCATCATTAGCGCACACCGCGCGCCTACATTTGAAATCGAACTTGAGCGCGCAAAAGACGTGAGCAGTCCCGGCTTTATCATGCTGACTTAATAGATTGTGTTTTCTTGATATGTTTTTGTTTTTATTTGTACACTTGACGCATTTGAAAATAGCCTAAATAATGTAACAAAACGAAAATAAACCTATATGCGGTCCTACAATAAAGCCTATTATTATTAGGATTGTTTTTTAGGCTCTTTGGGTTTTTGTGTGTGTTTGTTTTAAAACGCCTAGATAGGCTGGACAAAAGTTAACCTATAGCTTTGAAAGTAAAGAAGAATATACAGCCTGTATAAACGAGAGCTTTTGTTAGGATTTTTCATTGTGGCAGATAGCAGTTATATTTTTTGTAGCGTGTGGTGTGGTCAGGTGCGCGATTGTGACTGTCACCATAGACCTAGGACAGAGCTCCTCACTTTTTGCAGTTAAAAAAAAATCACTTAATTTTCAAAGAATTGTATTATTATTATAGTTTTATGTATTTTTGATGTTTTTTCGTTGTTGTTTTATAAATGCTCTATGACAATTGTTAAAAAATGTTCAATCAAAAGATCGCGTCTTTTTTTTTTTTTTTTTTTTTTTTTTTTTTTTTTTTTTAGTCGACTAATCGTTGCGCAGGACAAGACTTTGGTCGACTAAGGATTTCTTTGGTTGACTACAGCCCTAGTTAGAGAGCACTTCTCCTTTGCCGAGATAATCCATCCACCTCACAGGTGTGACCCCCCTCCCCCCCAAAAAAGGTTGTTGATTGTGGCCTGTGGAATGTTGGTCCACTCCTCTTCAATGGCTGTACGAAGTTGCTGGATATTGGCAGGACCTGGAACACACTGTCGTATACGCCGATCCAGAGCATCCCAAACCCATTCATTCATGCTGACTGCAGGAATGTCCACCAGAGATGTTGCCCGTGAATTGAACATCCAGCATCTTCACCTCCAAGAGCGTCTGAGACCAGCCACCTTTTATTGTGGCCAGCCTAAGGCACACCTGTGCAATAATCATGCTGCTTAATCAGCATCTTGATATGCCACACCTGTGAGGTGCGGCAAAGGAGAAGTGCTCACTAACACAGATTTAGACAGATTTGTGAACAATATTTGAGAGAAATAGGCCTTTTGTGTACATAGAAAAAGTCTTAGATCTCTGAGTTCAGCTCATGAAAAATGGGGGCAAAAACAAAAGTGTTGCGTTTATAATTTTGTTCAGTGTAATTTATGAAATTATTTAAAGAAATTATTGTGGGGGGAAAAGCCTGATAAAGCATCTCAGCAAATGTTCACTGTTGCCCTTGGTTACAAAGTGCATGCTTCATTTAATTAATGAATGAAGCTAATAAAAACGGCTGAAATCGCTTACAGTACATACAAGTGAAAAAACGCGATGCATTACTGCCATCTGCTGTTAATTCATATTATTCACATGCAGTAGAGAGAGGTCAAGGGTAACAGCAGGCTAACAGGCTAAAATCACTAAAAGATTTACGTTAAATGTTGCAAATAAAATGCACTTCTGTATTTTTTAATGTGCTTGTTGAGTCAAACTAGGGTCTATAATAGGTCTTTCACTCTATTTGGTCAGTGCATCATCTTTCATTTATTCTGTCTTTCTCTTCTCCCTCTCTCAGTACGGATGGAGGAATAAGTAAAGGGGCGACTGTGGGTGTGCTGCTGGATTTCTCTCGTGGGATTCTATTGTTTTTGATAAATGATGAGCAACAGGGACCCGTTGCCTTCAACACACTGGAGGGCATGTACTACCCAGCTATCAGCCTCAACCGCAATGTTCAGGTAACATTCATTTCATTCATTCACTGCTTTTGCATACTTAAAAAAAAACGTTATTCTTTAAAGGCTTAAGTGCAAATTGTTAAAAGTTATAGTTTTGGATACTTAATTGCATGTTATTTGTAATTAAATGAAAATGTATTATAACGAATTTTTATTATATGTAATTAGCACTTAAAATGTTAGTTCACCCAAAAATGAAAATTCTGTCAGTTAATTACTCACCCTCATGTCCTTCCAAACCCGTAAGACTTTTGTTCATCTTCAAACACCTTGCCACCTCATACATTTATAAGATTTTTAAACAAACAAACAAACAAACCACTTTTATGATTTATTTTCAGTATTTAAGTCAGTTCTATATTAATGTGCTGTTTTACACACACGTCACTCGCACACACTCACACGGAGATCGGAGATCGCGCTGAGCACACAGAAACATTCAGGAGCACAGAAACATGTTATCAACGCTGCCTTGCGACTTTTAGTAATAAAATAGCAACAAGGAGTAAAATAAAATAGCAACACTTGTCAACAACAAGGGGTTTACATGGTAAACTCACAGCTTTGTTATTAATAGAGAGAGAATCTGAACAGACTCGGGTACGCATCTCTCATCTCTCTCTCTCTCGATAATAAATTAAAATAAATGCTATAATTCATTCATTCATTCAAATAAATGTAATCTTACACACTACTTTGTCTCTGTGTCTGATTCAAAGCAGGCAGAAAGCTAGATCTAACGAGCTGTAAACTGGTGAAAATAACGATAGTTTTTACCCTTCCGGTCAAATATTACGATGCAAACATCAATAACAGCTTTAATTTATCAATGCTGGCAAATGACCATGGTATAAGAGGGATAATCCACGGCTAGCTGTGCATTAAACGATTTTAATGCACTTCGCGGAGACAACCACCCTCCGCATCGGGCGGTTCTCTGCCTCCACGTCGTTTATTAAAATCGTTTAATGCAACAGCACAGCCGTGGATTATCCCATATATATATTTTTTCTGCAATCATACTGTCAGGATTATGTTGTGTTTTGTATTAGTTTCATTCCTGTGTGTTTGTTTCATGTGCTTCAGTTCAGTTTAGTCTTAATTGCATCCTAGTTAGTCTCCTTTGTTACTGTTTACACTCAGCTGTCTATCAATTAGTTTCCCTGTGTATTTACTCTGTCTTATTCAGTTCATCGGTTCTCATCTGTATTTGTGTTATGATTCTCTGTGCCTTCATTTATGTATTCTCTTTGTGTTTATTAAATAAAGCTAGTATTTGATCCTCATCGTCCTGATTCTGTTAACTACCACATCAGTTGTGACATAGGCCTACTCTATGGGAGTAGGGAAAAGCACATTTTACTAGGGTGTGCCTTTCATATACTATCAGAAACTTGAACCAAAAGGCTTTTTTATGAGCAATATCTTGATTATTTTTGTGTGTATTTCTTTTAATAGGTGACTCTTCATTCTGGGCTGCCTATTCCTGATTTTTATACACCCGGAGAGTCTGAAGCTGCAGGCTCAGTCTGCTGAAGAGTCCTCGACTGATACACATTCATATACAGACACACACGCACAGACAAGTGCACATGGATTCAGCTGTGAGTACTTGCCAGGGGATTTGCTGTTGACAGTCATTAATATGTTTTAACAAGGTCAGAAATGTAAATGGACTTGTTAGGGTCAACTCAACCCTAACTTAACCCTAACCTTAACTCTGACCCTGATGTATGTGAGGTAAATTATTGGAATTCTTGAATCATTTTTCTCTCTTTCTTACTCTTTTTCTAGATATGATTATTATTATTATTATTATCATTATTGATGTTGTCAATGTTGTTTTTATGGAAAAGGTGCTCATGGATGTGAACTCCAAGCTTACTGGATCTTAACAGAGTGTTGTTTCATGATAAAATCCTCTGTGTCAAGTTAAGCTTAGAAATAAGTTACTGATGTGTTAGACCTTAGAGGATGAATTTTACAAAACGTTCTGTTGCATATAAAGGGAATTTTAAAACTGCAGATGGGGACAGAAACTAGAGTACAATATCTTATATTACAGCCTCATTGCGCATATTATGCCTCAGTTAATCTTATATATATATATCAAACCCTATTCTGAAATTCAAACTATAAACCCTGACCGAACCCGATCCCTAAACCTAAACTCTGTCATATTACACCTCGATCAAAATGAGATATTTCTAACCTTCTCTCCATATTCACAGTCGATGAGCAAACATACATTTGGGATGTATCAGAGAAGGCCAGAATGAGCTGAATGTGTGTCAGTGAGGAGGTAATGGCTTTCTGTTTGTTGAACAGAATAGAAAACACTAATTGGGACACAAACGCACACAAACACACAGGCATTTCCACAGCCTTGCATAACGTATTATGGAGAGATGAGAATGAATACACTTTTGTTTCTCTCTCTCTCCGTTTTATTTATCCTTTGCTGCCTCAAATGTGCACAAGCTAAACGTGAATGCTAAACAAATAGCTGGTGCTGCTTTTGTTCAATGTGAGAAAATATTGCAATATAAAACAATAGAGCTGCAAAGAGAGAAATTTAAACAAGACAGCATACAGTTTAGCTGCTTGAAGCATTGGCTATAAGTTTACCATAAAGGATGTACAGTTGCATTTTAAAAAAATATTTAAAATCCCACTGGTGGGGTTAAAAAATGGGGCGGGTGCTGTAGCCTACTTTATCTGTTTGTTGAGCAGTTTATGCTCAACAAACAACTGAATGTTTTGGGTGCGTGACAGGAAAATTTCACCCATTGTAAATTGTATTTTTTAATAAATTAATCCCAATATAAGAAATGTATTATTATTATTATTATTGTGTCTGAATTGTTATCTGTAAAGTTATATGCTCAATAAACTGGATTAGGTGCAATAAAAAACTGTCTGTCATTTCCCTGCGAAAATAGTTTGTGCAAAATGTGTGGAAATTTGCTATGGTAATTTTTTTTAATGGTAATGTACTTAATCAGAGTAATGTGGTTAATATTTGTTATATTCCTATATATATTTCGATATTTTTCATGAATTTCATAAGGCAATTTTTACTTTAAGCCCAACAAATATCAACTGAACACAGTGTTCAAGTGTGTGAGCTGCATATATTTTTTTTAATAACTTAAAATCCAGACAAAACCACAACATTTTCAAAGATTTACACAATTTAGTTAATGGTAAAATTCCATGAAAATGAACTGAGTAATACTTACGTATTTCAATTGAATAACTGATTACGGATTGTTCAATTATTCAATTAAAATAGGCTACGTAATGATTATCCAATTCAATTTGATGGATTTTTTACTATTAATTAAATTGCGTTAAAAAAAAGCCTTATTTTCTTTTTTAATATGGACCGTATGGACGTCACGTCATTAATTCGAATACTGTAATATGTTTACCATGGCTAAAAAAAAAAAAACAGTTCAATGAGAGAGGGAGGGAGAGACTTTCTGTCCCTCCCTCTGTTCCCCCTATAAAAATATGGGGCTTGTGACCCCCGTGCGCTGTGCTCGGTGTAACCGGTGATCTTCAGGATGGCGACGCCTCTAACGGACCAGGAGAAACGCAAGCAGATCAGCATCCGAGGGATCGTCGGTGTGGAGAATGTGGCGGAGCTCAAGAAGGGCTTCAACCGGCACCTGCACTTCACGCTGGTCAAAGACAGGAACGTCGCGACGCCGCGGGATTATTATTTCGCGCTCGCGCACACGGTGCGTGATCATCTGGTGGGTCGCTGGATCCGAACACAGCAGTTTTACTATGAGGCCGACCCGAAGGTGAGTCGGGAAGAAAAAAAAGTCCCATAAAAAGTCATTTGGTACCTTATTGGCTTTGACTATTATTAATGACTAATTTTACTGACTATTTGTAATTTTGCCAAAGTTAAAAGTTATTGAAATAGGCTGTAATTTCAAAATTACTTATTACATTTACTTGTAATAAGTTAACAGTGAATGCTTTTATTGGAATACAAGCAAAAGGGTAATGTGATTTTGAGCTGTTCTCGAACGGTTGTTTTTTGGTCATTTTTAATATAGGCTAAGATTAGCAGGTTGTTAAATTGTCAGTCAGGTTAATCTAGACAGGTGCAATTATCTTTCAAATGTATTACAGGCAAGTTTTATGGATGAAAATAAAGTATTAGTTCCAGTTGTTTGTGATTAATAACAGGGTTCCAACTGCCATGCCAAACCTGGATAAATTAGGGAAATGTACTATCCTGGAAAAGTTATGAAAATTAATCAAATTTTATAATAATTTTCAAATGAAGAATAATAATACCTGTAGAATTGTTTTCTAGTCATGCAGAGCTTTTAATCAAAATATATTATTACAATTATAAATGTATAGAAGAGTAATAGAAATTAATGTCAAAATGTGCACCTAATGCATAATCCAAGAATGCAGTTTCTCTAGAAAGACTGTTTGATTTGTGTGTGTGTGTGTGTGTGTGTGTGTGTGTGTTTCTATGTGCTTCAGCGTGTATATTACCTGTCGTTGGAGTTCTACATGGGTAGAGCGCTCCAGAACACCATGATTAATCTGGGTCTGCAGAACTCCTGTGATGAGGCCATCTACCAGGTGAGAGAGAACAAAACACTCATCCATCCATCTGTGTGTCTAGCTGTCTGTAAACCTCTCTCTTTCCTTCTAGCTGGGGTTGGATATGGAGGATCTGGAAGAGATGGAAGAAGATGCAGGATTAGGCAACGGAGGACTGGGAAGATTAGCAGGTCTCTCTCTCTTTCTCTCTCACTCACTCACTCTCTCACACACACACACACACACACACACACACACACACACACACACACACACACACACACACACACACACACACACACACACACACACACTATACAAATAATAGCATGATCTAGGTTAATAGTGATATTTACTGTGTGTGAGCGATCCACAGCTTGTTTTCTCGACTCCATGGCGACCCTGGGTCTGGCTGCTTATGGATATGGGATCCGATATGAGTATGGAATCTTCAACCAGAAAATCAAAGATGGCTGGCAGGTGAATTTGATGGCTGGCAGAAGAATATATTTTCTCATATATTTTTTACACATTTTCACAAATATGTTTACAAATATTTCAGAATCCATAAAAAAGCCAAAATATTTTTAAATAAAAATATATTTTTTGATAAGTTTTAGTTATTTATAATTTCTCAAATATTTTTTTTATATATCTTCTTATTTATACATATACAACATTTGCTAAAATATAAAATGTTATATTTAAAATAAAGTTTTATTAGTTACTTATATTTTCTTCAATATTTTTACATATATTTTCAATCTAATTATGTTAAATTTGTTTAAAAAAAATACATTTTGCAGTTACACAAAATTGTGGGTAGTTTGCAGTACATTTTTTGTAGGTCAGCGTCTGCATAAAAATCAATGCATATGGGCCAGGAGTCCATTGCGTTTGTGGTCACTGGCCTGTTGCATGTGAGCTTGCCGCAAAGCTGATAATACTGGACCAATACTGGACCAATGAGGATCTTGTGCAAGCGGTAGTAGGTTGATAAGAAACAGTGGCTCAATTTATTTACAAAGGGACAGTGATAATGGTGTGTTTGTGTAAAAAAAAAAAAACACACACCTGAACTTTAACCTGACCTAGATCTGAGTACCATGTCCTCCAGTGCAGATTGACACTGGTGTCGTCTTCGTCATCGCTGTATCGTTGTCTGTTAGGTTGAGGAAGCGGATGATTGGTTAAGGTATGGTAACCCCTGGGAGAAGGCCCGTCCTGAGTTCATGCTGCCTGTGCATTTCTATGGCCGTGTGGAGGAAGAGGAGGGAAAGGAGCCGAAATGGGTTAACACACAGGTTTGAAAACAGCCACAGGCATACAGAACATACACTCCCACAAGATAGCATTAAGGTACTCTGGCCAGGTTTGTAATGCATGTTTGTGGTGCAGGTGGTCCTGGCAATGCCGTACGACACGCCAATCCCTGGCTACATGAATAATACGGTGAACACCATGCGCCTGTGGTCTGCACGCGCTCCCAACGACTTCAATCTCCGAGACTGTGAGTCATTCACACAATGGGTCACCAATACAATTTATCTGACATTTTTTGTAATTCCTTAAAAGACAAACACTTGAAAATCATTTATTACTAAAATCAATATAAAATCATAATTGAGCCTATTTTTTTGGTTTTATTATGATGCAGTTAATGCATATTATTCCAAAGGTCTTCTGAATTTTTCAAGATATAATGTATATAAAAATAGATTTGAATAAAAAGTGTTCAACTGCTTCCATGGATAACATCAAGCCTCATTTTCCTCATTTAATTATTCACTTAGAAATATGTCTAAAAAGCATAAGCAAAATAGGTCGTGACCTTAATGTTATTGGAATTTATATGTAATAATTCAATGATGGATGTTTTTGTTTTTACAGTTAATGTTGGTGATTATATCCAGGCAGTTTTGGACCGTAACTTAGCAGAAAACATTTCCCGCGTGCTTTATCCAAATGACAATGTAAGTTTTATTTCACCCTCTTTGAGGCAGATTGAGGTTTAAATGGCTTTTCTGTGTTTAAACTGCATTCATTATTGTTTGCAGAAAATTAGGTTTCATTTATCCAGTTTAAGCTGGTCAGAAATTTCATCTCACATTTTTTTGACACTTTGCAATTGGTGGGTGTTTTGTAGTTTTTTGAGGGAAAGGAGCTGCGTTTGAAGCAGGAATATTTCGTGGTGGCAGCAACTTTACAAGATGTGATTCGTCGCTTTAAGACCTCGAAGAGAAGCTTCTCTGGACCGTTGTCATTTGACAGCTTCCCTGATAAGGTCAGCTTTACTACACACAACCGTTTTAACTAATTGAACTTTAAAGAAAGTCTCTGCATGCATTTGTGTGATTCTTCATGTCTGTGTTTCAGGTTGCCATCCAGCTAAATGATACTCATCCTGCTATGGCCATACCTGAGCTGATGAGGATATTTGTGGACATTGAGAAACTGGACTGGGATGCAGTAAGATTCATAAATCTATTATACACTGTGACAGCCCATACAACATCATGCATACAGATGTGTTTATCATGTTTGTTTTTTTTTGTTTTTTTTTACTTTCTTATTTATTTATTATTATAATTTGCCTTTCTTTAATTCACAAT